GTTAATAATGTGTTGTAGTGGCTGGTACTATGTCAAACCACGTAGGTTATTCTAGCTTCTGGACAGACCAATCTATTCATTCTTCTCAAGCCACATTTTGACCTTGTCACTAATTCGCTTACTAACCCTGGCTGTTTTTGTTTGAGTATATATTTGTTATTTACTTACCCTATTCATTATGTGTCTGTAACTTAATTTTGTCTGACTATAAATATCGAGTCGCGTTTGATTAAATCGAGTTGGCTCACTAGCCTTCTCCAATTGTTTCGCTTTCCTCACTTTGTTTCTCGAAATGTATGTTCATATCAATGAGTTTACGAAGCATACGAATTTAATTTATTTTATTCCGTTATTCGTTAACCGGAATTAAGTCTATAATAATAAACAGGGGTCGGTGGCATTTATATTTTTATAACAATCAGCATATGATATAAATGGAGTCAGGTATAGGCACCACAAGGATATGACTGCCGATATATCATAATAATCTACTTTTGCACACACACACACTCTAGCTTCTCACCAGGTACATGCCGTCGTATTCGTTCGAGGAGTTTTGCATTAATGGTCAACTAGCTACGTATATGTAAAATACTATCAAACATTTTAGACATTTGATTTCTCTCCAAAATCTTCTTGAAAAGGCTTGGCCAACATGGCCTGTTCATCTTAGTAGCGCTTCCTTTCATAAAATCCTTGTGATTACAATGAAAGGAGAATGAAGTGTAATAAACAAAAGTATGCTACCCGCGACTGAATATAAGTGAGAGCATCAATGACTGTTTGAAAATTACGTTGTAGAAACAGTATTAGAAAGAGCCTTGTATCATCAGGGTTTGATTCGAAACGAATCCAAGTATATGGTATATTTCTTTTTTCTTCAAGAAAGATAATGGCCTGCATTCTGTTACATACTATAAAATGTCGAATTGCTACATAGACACTGGATTGGTTTTATACTAATTAATTGAGGAAAGGTATTAATCGTGTTAAGTTGATAGATATCTAATGATTAAGCTCCCATGCTCAGAACGGATAGAATAATTCCAGTGTTTGAAGTTCCTAATATGACTTTCATATGATACGTATGCTTTAACTGCTATTTATTTTGTATTAGTATTTCTTTGAAAAATATTGTGCCTAACTCAATTTTATTGCTCGTGTCAAGACGTGTGAAATGAACTGATAGGAATGTAGTGAACAGGAAATGGCCCAAAAATTATGTGGAATATTTGCACTGGAAGTAGAACCACAAAACTCCAGTTTAATCAGCTATTACTTTGAAGAAAACCAAATTAACCAATATATTTTTGGATACACTAAAGTGTAGCAAATCTCAATTCATTTGCTTGCTAACTATTATGAAAGATTTTGAGACGACATTGTATCCACGATCAACTGAATGACAAGTAATTCCATGGCTGAAAATATGCTCTTGTTAGTTATAACATTTGTGAAACGTCCTCAGGTATGCGGATAACAACTTTTATTCCTACTAATATTGATATCACTCATATCAATTTGTATAGCGTAACTAAGCTTGCTAGTGAAGGTTGATGAATAGCCTATAAAATTATCGGACAATCTCTAGCAATACACAAACTGCCTTTTAGTTAAATCCTTATTAACTATTTAACATTTCAAAGTTATTCTACTGGTTGACCGGCTAAATTCTGTAAAACATCTATGAAAAAGTGCAAACCACAAACTGTTCTCATTATTTTTTAAAATACCTGTGTCGTAAACGTGACTAGTATTTTCTTCACACATTTAAAGTATAACTGCTAAGTTTAAAGAGGTTATTAAAGAATAATAGCACATATGCACACTAAACCTTATCAAATCGGTCGTTAAATTATAAATAAGATACCTAATTTATGTCTTTACTTCGATGTCATTAGAAGTGAAAACGAGCAGTTCTATTATTATTATTATTACAAGCTTTATTCATTACTATAAATTTTGTTACAGCAAGAAATTCTCAACATCCATTGTGCCATATTACAATGAACCTCTTTTTATTTATTTATTCAAACACATAAATATTGGTACAAAGGGGCACCAGATACATATACGCCACACAATAATAATGAGAATGTGAAGATATAAAGAATTTAGTGTGTATAAAAAGAAAAAAGGATAATAAAGACCACCCCAGACTACCTGGTTGGGGACCGCGAGATGATAGCAACCGATGGTTAGAGACCTGAATGGCATGGCTCAAAATCGTTTGCAATGGCGCAGGTGTATCCGCTCTCTGTGTTCTCCCAAATTCTAATCTTCTGAATTCTTCATGTCCCTTTTTTCCTCTTTCCAAATTTATTTCACTGGATTATACTCTTTAAATAACATCTCCAAACCCTAATCTTCCCGATTACTGCTTATACTCTTATTACCTCTACCACTACGGGATTTGAATCGACAACTGCATCTCTGTGCTAATGTGGTGTGGCAACTCGAACTGATGTACGTACGTACGAAGTTCTACGTTGTCACTGACTGACTGACAATTAGTGTATGATAGTGAAATAATAATAATAACGGGGGAAACGTGAAGGTAAAACCAGAAATTCTTCCAGTTAAAGAAGTTACGGTCACATTTTATGAAGTAAAAGGTTACAGCAGGATCGCCACTGGCTTCTATTCTGAGCCATATCTGATAACGTCTCTAGCAACTGTGTTGCACCATCTCTCGGACCCCAGCTAGGGAGTCATGAAGGACCAACAAAAGCCAACCCTTTGCAGATTTCTTTCATACCACGACAGCATGTCATACACTGACCACCTCTCCTCTTTCTCCAACCAGTCCCAGAATCGGCAAATAATGCACGACGTGGAATTCTCTGGGACGACATTCGTAGAACATGTCCAAGCCACCGAAGTCGATGTTTCAAGATAGTGACACCAATTGAATTATCGTCTCTGTGCCCAAACACACGATGCTGAACCTCTGCATTACTAACATGGTGTTGCCACTGGATGTCAGCAATCCTTCGGAAACAACCATGATCAAGCATAGAGAATCGTCTAACATCCTCAACTCGGAGAGGTCAGGTTTCACAAGTATAGAGCAGAACTGCTCTCACCGACACGTTGCAGATCCGACCGTTTACAACCAAACTGACAACACGAAGGCGCTAGTGATGGTCCAGACTGTCATAAGTCCCTCTGGCTTTCACTTTACGTGCATTGATCTCATCACTCACGCCACCACCAGCACTTATGCAGCTACCCAGATATACGAACTTCTAGATTACTTCTAGCTGCTCACCATCCAGGGTGAGTACACGATCACGGTCCTGCCAGCCTTGTAAAAGTATGCGAAGGTGCGAAGCACATACCATACCTACGGACACTAATTGCCAACTGATTAAGTGCTGATTGCATGGCTTGGATATTATCGCACAGCAAGACAATATTATCCGCATACTCAAGGTCGAGAAGTCTTTCTGTAGGCAACAGACCCACACCATCATTACTTACATCCATCAAAGCTGTTTCCCGAAAGTTATCGATGGCGAAGCTTAAGAGGAATGGTGTGAATATGAAATGTCTGAATTCTAATTGAAGCGAGCATAGTGTTTCGTGAAATAATTGTCATCTCATTAGATTTGTGAGGGCTGTGATACTGTCCGGGTGCCAAGACCAAAGCAGGTGATTTTCTTAGGGGGCCACACCAGGAGCCTTTGACCAAAAGGTCTGATCCACAAGGCAGTGGAGACCGTAAGGATATGCAGTTCCATGGTAGGTGGTGAAAACAATTGGTTCATATGCCATTTTTCCACTCAGGATCCTGGAGCTCATGTACACCATTGGTTTGGAATCGGGGTTTTCCAACTACTCTAGGTGGATCCTCCATATCCAATAACCCAGTTAAAGCGCCGGACATTCGCTTTCCGTCCTCTCAATTTTATAACACCCCCACCACGAGAAGGCAGTGAGTAGGACTTCCCTGGCAGAGGCTATATACGCGTGGCCATGTGAGGGCATTTCGAGAGGGAGAGCGAACTCTCCCCACTCTCTACCGTATTACGGCATTTGGGGGCAACCGCTTCTTAACGTACATTCAAGTTGTAGTTATTTAAAAATTATATTTAGTAAATGTTTTTCCAATAGTCATATCTGCCACTCATCTTCAATGATGAAATTTTACAGCTAGCTTATATTTTATTCATATATCAGATAATAATCGCATGGATCCAAATACATTTTTTCAAAGAGTAAACGAGGAAGTGCAACGTCTCAGTAACAGATTTCCCGTATTTAGTATTGTGATAAATTGTAAGCCTTTCAAAATCCACGTTAGTACATACAGTTAGGACTCATTATTATTCGGTTTAAACAAAAAAATTATTACAATATTCGCTCGGTTAGGAAATAGAGGGCTTAAGACGTCTGAACAGGCCGCCGTACGCTTAAAACTTGAGACTGAGATTTGAGAATACATATGATTCTATAGGAATGTGGTTTTCACATCTATGCGCCAAATCATTCTAAAAATATGACATTTCGGACACCATATCACCGAACTAGTTAAAAAGTATCATACCGATTAAAACAGAAAGACTGTTGTACTATATAAAACATATGTCGATTTCAACCACACAGCAAAACAATTATCACGAATTGATGGATACGTAAAACATTTTGTAGCATGTTCCAACCTATTGGTAAAAAATAGTGTGTTCGGTTCTAAACTAGCGCAACTAGTTGATACATATCCCGTAAGGTAAGACAACATCCGATACATATAATATACACGTCTTCTTGAACCTATGGACAGAGATCATGAATCCCTCTGACGAATTACAAGTGCTATTACAAAATCCATTCATGTAAGAGGCAAACTGATAAAGAGATGATTACGATTAATTTTCTTCTCTTATGTACATTTCACAAAAAAAGGTGTAAAGCATAAAGGAAGGGCTTACAGACGTCTATATACAACACATACATACACATGCAAATACAAAGTTAAACGACCGGTGTGATAAGACTACTAATCATACACATATAGAAAAAAATAGCAATAAATGATAGTATGTTTGAATAAGGAAAGTACTAATATTTGCATATCAACTAGGAATTAAATTAATCCATGACGTTTCTTGTACTCTTGTAAATTTAACAATCGACGATTTGGTTTTCCAAATGGACCGTTCATTGGTGTCTGGGGACTGCCATTGGTAAAATCATGAGTAGAATTTGTAGTACCACGTGATCTAGGACTAGTTGAATGTCGTACATCAGTATTAGTTGATCCTGTGCGTCCGTTGGAATTCGCCTGATCATTATTCCCGTCCAAATCCAAATCAATATTTATTTCAAAATTATGTATTGCATGAAGAGAATCATGCGGTGTGGATAAGTTGCTATTATCATCTCCCAATGACCAACATACTGAGTCAGGTGCTTCAGTTATTATACTATTACTTCCCATTGGTGTATTCAACAGTGAATGTTTAGATGGCACGCTTAGCTCTGAATCAGGAGTTGGTGGTGGAGGAAAACTTTGATTCAAATCACAGGAAGTATTTGATTGAGCTACTACTCCAAGCTGTAATGAAATTAACCAAACAGTAGTCATTAGGCAACTTTTACTAGTATAAATTCACAAAATGTTTATTAGTAATCCTTAAATTAATGTTTAAAAATATACATTAAATACAAAGAAAAAGTGAACTAGTAGTTAAAAAACGTGATTTGACTGAAGTTTTGTTAATTCATAGAAATTATCAGGAATCTTCTCTACCACAACTTAGACTGACCCGCTACAATGAGAATAATGTGGATGAAATTGAAGAAACGAAACTTATACAAAAACCTGTTAACTGTTTGTCTAAGCGAAGCGAAGGAAGTGTAGATTTCTTCACATAGATTAGAAGGACTGGAGTGACAATAATCCGCGATTGAACACGAATCATTTGATAACTAAGATAAAAATACACTACATTTATTCAGTTCCGTTTGAATCCTGAGCATATGGTATCAGGCATTACTATTCACTTTACAGATCATATTTATACTTAAATATAATTTGCTCCAAGTAATCAGAACATATTATCTAGTGTCTATGTAATTCATATTCAAAGAAGCAAGCGATCTCATAAAAGTCTACTAAGTTTCATAAACTACAGTTCATAGTCTTTCTAATTAAGAAATGGCTAAACCAAACATCAATTGGCATACGTTGAGATATAAGTAGAAGCTTTCACTGTTATTTTATCACTAACATAACAGTATTTATTAATTTTTTTAAAAAAAAACATATTTTATTGAAATTATCTTTCCAAACATGCACACTCAAAGCAAGCATGAAACCCCAGATTTCAGTATAACTGATTATCTAAAAATAAATAAACTAGAATCATTGTATAGCGATGCAACTTGTAAAACTACTTTATGATTATAAAAATGATAAAGCTAGTCAGATAAAAACAAAAAATTCACAAAAAGACATGGGATATTTTTAACATACAGGAGAAGAAGGAGAAGAAGAAGAAGAAGTTCAAAGTAATTTGAGATATTCTAATAAATCTAAACTGTTGACTTTTTTAATATCTTGTAGATAAATTGATCCATTATTATTATTAAAAGATGACCTTTATTTTTGTGTTAAATTTCTGAGATACCGAAAAATGCTTAACCTATATATGGTCAATTGATATCTTTAATAAATTACAAGATTAATGAATTTATGTTTTTTTTCTAATATAGTTGATCAAAAGTAAAAGTCACTACCAACTTTGACACTGTTTGTCTTACAAGTATCAGTGATTGAGAAGCCATTTGTTTGAAATACTAAGAACCTGGATACTCTTTTAACCTTGATCATCATTCAGTGAATGGAAACCTTGATATAAGTAACACGAAATAGCAAGTTACAATTATTCAGATATCTTTTGATAGTTAGGTTTGTTGAATACATTACATACTGTCGTTAAATAATTGAATAATAAAATACATTTTAGTTTCCTTAGAACTATTTCCATAATTTAATACACATAGATAAACCATGGAAAAAGGTTACCAAATTCTTTTCACTATTTGAAAATAATTCTTCCTTTAAATGTTACACAAAAACCATACATGTTACTCTTTTTCAACAAATGAAAACCATTAATATTCTGTTGCTTGATTACATAATAGTTATTCATGAATCGAACAATTAAGAGATAAGAGAATGTAATTGTTAGATGAATAACGTACTAAATTAGACATAATGTTAGATGAAATGCGCTGTACTCACAGAAATTTTCTTAAAAAAAAACATATGAACAGATCCAGGATAGCTTCGATATTAAAACATTAGCACCCAAAAAACTTAATTCATACAATTCTTACTCTTTTATGACGTAAGTTTTCCAAATATTTCTTTGTGACAATTACCGGTTGAGAATGAACACGTGTAAATGGATCTTCTTCCTTGGAATTCAATGCTTCTTCACTTTCTTTACGAATAGCTTCTTCAGCTTGTTGTACACTAAGTGCACGATTACGTTGATTTATAGATGTAATTGATTTAAAACCTAAAGTTCGACGTCTCTCAATCCGTTCAGCTTGAGATTCAATTTCTTCTATTTCACTATCTAAATGTTTCAATAATTCTGTATCTCCATCTGTTTCTGCTTGCTCTCGTTGTTTGATCAATTCCGCTTTGCGTAAAGCAAAATTTGTTGGAGCTTTCTGAAAACGACGTTTGGATTGTATGATCTATGAAGTAAAAAAGACCATAAAAAATTATCAATGTGTCACTACAAAAAGTGAAAGGTAACACCTACTTTAAACATAGGTAGTAATATATTACAGCCAAGAATAATTCATGCTATGAGAACAATTAAAATAAACAGAATTCTGCTTGGTAGATAAAATGGCAATGATATGATGTGACCGATTGATAGATTGATATTAAATAAAGGATCACTAGCCATAAGAAAGACTTTTCTTCTCTCTATAATTAGTGAGAAAAATTATTAGGATTCACTGGCGACTAGAAGATAATAGTCGCGTTAATCATTAACTAGCCGATAAATTAGGATCACACTTAATTCTTGACCACCATAAATAATTTTACAAATAGACGTTTTTTCCCTGCCCTTTGTTCAACTATTATTGATCAGCTTGCAGCTATGAAACTAGCTAAAATTTTAGTACGCTGAGAATCTATCCATATATATGGGTAAACAAAACACTGAACTGTAAAACCAGAACTCGACAGATATGTACATCATATATGGTCAAAAAAGTAATGATCACTGAAGTTATGAAGCTTAAAATCACTACTACTAGTTATCGAAAAAGTGTAAAACTCGAAAATAAACTTCCCAGTAGGAACATTTAAGGTTCATATATAACAGTTTTAAAGCGATGAATATTTATTTCGTATGTATTCGTTATTCGAATCTACTCATTGATGTTTTGTATTGTAATTGATTAAAATGTTATTGAGACATGTGCACCCTGTGCGGATTGCCTCCATATTGCTTCAAGTCACAAGTATTTTAAGCCGAAATGGATGGTGGCTAGCAGTGGAATCCATGACGCGTGTTTCCTCCTGTTTGAGACTGATCAGCTGGACATACCCGCATCTCAGAGTTCATATCTACTCCGGGACTCTAACCCAGTGTCGTTTGCTTTGTACAGGATCCACATATGCCAAAGAGACAGCTCTAAACGTCAATCGGAACATCCAAACAACAAATACAAGATGAAATAAACTTCACGCATTTGTTATGTGAACTCAGTAGATAAGAGGATAGTGCGATGACGCTTCGAGAGAACGGTACTGGGATCGAGTAGCGGGACGAACATCGACTCTGAAACGCAGTTACATCCAGATTGCCAGTCCCAAATAAGACAAAACATGAATTCCGGACTTCATTGCTACCTACCATCCATCTCGACTTAAAACTGATGAATACAAAATATGTATTCGCTAGGTCTAAGTTTGTCTTTTGTTTCGCTTTTGGTATTTTACTAATTTGCATCATATCTTATTTATGCTGCTACCTTTTAGCCAATTCACTTGAACGTTGATCAATTCAATTTGAATCTAGAATAAACATTAAAGTATCTGATGGGATGCCCACGATAACTGTGATTCATGGTTGGATACAATGGATGAAAAAGTTAATAATCAAACACAGCGACGTACACGTATTTACTCTTTACCTTATCCTAAGTTTTGAACTTCAGTATTACATCATACTTTTTATTTCTCTAATTTGTTTTCTCTTTGAATTGTATTGTCTAATGTTTATCCTTTTTCACTAGCATTAATACGATTATGATTTAGATTTCGACGCTACATAACTTGTTAACCTCTTCTCATCATCTCACGACTAAACGCAGTCACTGACAATTGGATTGAATAGTGTTAATAAGCGTAGACTATCTGGTTGAGGTCCGAGTGATTATCGTAACTAATGGTTTGAGAATTTGAATGACATGACTCAAAATCGTCTGCAATGGCGCAGATGCATCTATCCTTCGTCTTCAACCAAACTCTGAGCTTCTGAATTTCTCATAACACTTCTGTTTTTATTTCATTGATTTATTTGTCCTTGAATCATATCTTCGATGCTTAATCTTTCCAATCACCACTCATACTGTTAATGCCTCTACTAATCTGGGATTCAGTCTGAGAATTTCATCTCTGTGTTAATGGGGTATGGCAACTTGAACCGATGTACACACGTACCAGGTTCTACATGGTGACTGACTGACTAAATGGCCATATTAACGTGGTATGAGGACTTGGGCTAATGTATATTCTTATTAGGTTATAAGTTAATTGTGACTGATTGCAATTAAACAGTTTGCAGCTACTATGTAAATTAAATAATAATATATTCAAATGTAGATTTTGATAAGAATCTAGTAGAAATGAAAGTATCTCCAAACCTCGAGAAGATAATAACTTTTCACAAGATCGAAAGCACACTTTACCGAAAAAAACTACATGACTGCTAATAAAAGATCTTGAGATATCAGACAAATAACCACAGTGACAACTGATGTTTTGTAACTAGTTAGCCTCATTAAATTCTTTGATCAACAGAATTACGCCAATACTTAATAGCAAAGCATCATACGAGTCACTTTTCGGCGAACCAGAATACCGATAGATAGTATCAAGAGTACCTTAAAGTGAGTACACGTTTATACTTCTTGCCACTGATATAGGACGAGACCATTATTGATAGTGAAACTAGGTGACAAAAAACAAGCAAAATAACAAAAATCTTTGTTGAATATCTAACGCGTATATGTATATTTCACGCAATAAAATAATTCGTTAATCATATCATAATAAAATTAATACAGGCACATGTGAAACAAACCTGTTCAACCACGCGTTCATCTCGAATAGGACGATTTATTGCTTCAGTAATTTCAGCAGCTTTATCTCGGACAAAATTCAAAGTCGGAGGTTTCATGTTCGCAAGATGTATTCGCCGCATCCAGCTGTCGAATTCATCTTGCTGAAAATCAGAGTTTGAAATGAACGCCAAACGAAATGTACTTTGGTCTTTTCCAACACGAACTACAATTCCTTTATTAGTTCTACAAAATGCAGGACGTTTGATAAATATATATAGTGTAGCGAATATAGATCGAGCAAAAAACATCTTTCTAAATGAAAATTCAATTTTAAAAGCGTGTATGAAACGAAATATTGACGTGTGAACATAAATCCGATATATACTCTGTATTTTGTGTGAGATGTTGCTATCAGATGTAATTATGTGTGTTTCCGAATTTTTTCGAAGAAAAACAACTGACTCATTCATAAGGGACTTGAATGTGAGAAACAATAAATGTAAGGACTAATAATATTGTGGTGTATGCTACTTATGTTGACAGATATAAGTAGTATGTAGCACTAACCAGAAGTGGAATACCTGGTAGCAGAAGATTGAGAAGATCGAATTGAAGAGGACAGGAATGTAGACAAAGAGCAATTGTAATAACAACAGAATTAAAAGAATCATGAAGCATGTAAAAAAACAACTGAAGGAAGATGTGCAAATAATATATTTAATGTACAGTTTTCATATTTTACGAAGGAACTCTGTAATTTCGCACTAAACAATAAATTGGTCTTCCCCACCTGAGTACTTCGTTCACTACAATATTACCCGGTTGCCGAGATCAAAATACACGATTACTAGTTGGGGTTCAGTACATAATTTCAATTAATTATTGGACATCTCAAGTAACAATAAAAAATCATATGTAGTGATGAGGATATATTCATTACTTATCTTTCACTACATCTTAAATGCAGTATAATTCTTTCACTTTTGACAGTTCCTTTTTATTTCTTGATCTTCAATACATTACATACACTTAACTTATTCCAGACACAAAAGGAGTAATAAAGAAGCATATGTAGAAAGAAAACTGTGAATGTATGAAAATCAGTAACTATAATCGGTTAATAAGTTTATATATATATAACCAGAAAACACTTGGGAATTTATGTACCGAGTGTCACCAAGATCGTATATTTTAGGAGTTTCCACGACATCCACAATTTCAGCACAACGATAAATCGGCACACCTTGATGTAATCCTATGTTGATACGTACAAAACATCCTTTTATCAAGTTCTGAGGAAGAAAAATAAAAAAATAAGTGACAGTCATTTACGGCTACATGTATGAAGACTAATTCTAGCAAGGCTTATAAATTATGGCCAACCAAATAAACATATATTTTTTAAATGCTACAAATTCTAACCGTATTTTAATAACAATTCCCCTAAAAATATTGTTATTAAATATACAGTCAACAGATGACAATTAAAATTGAACGAACTTTACTGATTGTTAGCAGGGGTGACAACACTTCTTCATTACCTAGATGGACAAATCGAAAGCACAGACCAGTCACGCGGTTGTAGGTGGACCCTAACACCAGATCCTACACCGAATCCTACGATTGGCTATTTCTTAGCCAATCAGCGCTAGCAGGTACTTGGAGAAGACTCTTGAATCTTTTCGCATAAAAACAATAAACATACTAACATTTTTCTTATAGTGTTCCTACTTCAATTTACCTCTGTTTATTCGGAATATAATTACGTTCCTGTTCAACTACGCTCTAATTTAGGAACTTGTCGAGTCAAGTAGTTTCCAAGAATACTAACTAATAACAGTAGCTGGGTTGCAATAAGAGAGTTCATAACACTGATCGAAGAAACCAGTATAACAAGTAGGCTGTCTATAAAAAACACACTGGAAATATTAGTTGGTTAATTTCACACATCCCACTAAACTGAGTAACGAAATAATAATGACGTCAATCTAAAAAAAATACACAAACCATACTCAAAACATTTTGTCTTTTACACATTCACAAGATTTAGAGGTTATTAACAATGCACTACATAAAAGATGAAATTGTTTACTTTTCAAAGCTTGTTTGACTAAGTTTTCACTTTAAAATTATTTTAAGATAAATGTAGTATGTCATACCTTGAATCTTATGATACCCATAATAAATTCAGTAACATCTTACCATACGTGATAACACATGTAGGATGTGGAGAAACTCACATCGAAAAACGGCATGTGAACCCACTTTTCCATTTTAAAACGTGACAACCGAATACGAGATAGATGCTCAACAGAGGAGACTAGTTCCTCTTCAGGTGAACGACTTCTGCCTCTAGCGTCATCTTCACTTGAAGAACCAGATCGCTGTGAACCTGACAAACTGGAAAAACTAAAAAAAAGAGAAGAAATCATAGTTTTAGAGACCCACCGAAACAATTTAAGAGAAAATAGGCATGCCTCAACGACTAGAATACTCTGAATAAAGTTGAGTGAAATGAACAATGAAAATGTTTGTTCAAGAAATAGTTATCAAATAAAAGTAATTAGAAGCCCCCAATATACTGCCACCTGAATCTTATATACGCTTAATAGTACTTAATATTACTTTTATTTAACCCTTCCACAGCACTTTATTCGGTACCCCAATGTTCGAATTTTAGGGGTTCACCTTGTTTTCCTTATTCTTTCAACGTTGGTAAACGAGTGATAGTTTTGGGAAGTACTTTTGACAAAGACCAATAGTCCGGATATAGCGATAAAACTTAGGAGTACGTTGTTTCACTCTAGTAGAATAATCCCTTATGACCGATACATTACCTAAGATAGTTAAGGTGTTAGGTTGTTCTCTCACTAAATCTGATACAGAATCCAGTAAATTACACCAATAAACCTAAAATAAGAGCGGAATGACAACAATCCGTGAATTTCCTGACTATTAATCAATGCTAACCAGAAACTGGTTCTGAGTCCTAAAAAACGGAGATAAGGTTGTAAGCTGAAATGAAACAAATGAAGACATTTAATTCACACAATAAACAAAAACTCAATATCATATTTTAATATTTTCTAAAACCTTTTAATTCTTCCCTAACTTTTATTGTGATATTTATGGATGTAGTGACTGAAATCAACGCACTATTATCGTACAGCTTAAGACTCGTCAGTAGCCCATATAGGCAAATAATAAGGCTGATATCATCTAGACTTCTTTTTAATAAAACATCAAGGAATTGAAATCGCAGATTCACCAGTTTCTTACATATATTTAACTGACTGACCATAACTAGTGAATTTATTGACGATGACAATAAGGTCAATATTTTCATCACAAATGATGGACATATGTCTGTATAAATGAAGGCTATCGCTTGTAGATTTAAGTACTGTATGGTCAAAATTAGTCATGTAGCAATTAGCTAGAGTAGGGCTCAGTGGTAGACCCATCTCTACGCCATCAGTTCATCTACAGAAATCACTACCGAATCCAGAGTAAACAATGAAGGTATAGCGTAGGAGTAATTCCTTTAGTTAGCATTTCAGACAAAAGGACATTAATAAACACAACCTGACACATAAATGAGCTAGCCCAAGTTGTGATCAGCACGACAAGATGAGAATAACAAGATGAATTGAGGAAGCGATCAGAATAAATTAATCGTAATGAAAAAAGAAAGACTAAACCTTGAGAAAGGTCAAAAATGCAGTGGCAAAGTATGTATAAAGAGATATTGAAACGAGATAGAGCGGAAAATAACGTCAATGGATGCAAGCCATTGTGAACATTTCAGTGTTCGGAACACTAACACTAGGGTTACTACTTTCGACATTATAACATAAAAAACCATCTTCATTAGGAGAACGTTTGTGAAAAATGAATCCACAACAAATGATATTGTTTTCTTTGTCAGTCAGTCACCATGTAGAACCTGGTACGTGTGTACATCGGTTCAAGTTGCCATACCCCATTAACACAGAGATGAAATTCTCAGACTGAATCCCAGATTAGTAGAGGCATTAACAGTATGAGTGGTGATTGGAAAGATTAAGCATCGAAGATATGATTCAAGGACAAATAAATCAATGAAATAAAAACAGAAGTGTTATGAGAAATTCAGAAGCTCAGAGTTTGGTTGAAGACGAAGGATAGATGCATCTGCGCCATTGCAGACGATTTTGAGTCATGTCATTCAAATTCTCAAACCATTGGTTACGATAATCACCCGGACCTCAGCCAGACAGTCAGCACCTATGACTTCAAAGACAGAAGCCATGTCTTCGGCACACGTAACACGTGCCCAATCACCTCAGTTGGTGAAAATTTACTGCCTCATCAACCGACTTCCCACTCTTACCTAACACCATATTCCTAACCCAGACATAACTTACTCCGTGGTCCCAAAATACACGAACAATGATTCGAAGACGCGTATGACCGAATACCAGTAGCCCACGGATACCTATTCTTAATGACCATGTATCATAACTATGAAGTAGGACGGAGCAAACTGCAGTGCAGTAAACTCGTCATTTACATGACAAACAGATGCCACGCCTACGCTATAAGTGACGTTAGTTGGAAAAAGCAAATCGAGCCTTCTGAATCCATGCGGAGATTTTGTCAGACATCAAACCATCAGGACTGATAAGACTCATAAGATAAGTGAAGCGATCGATAAGCTCGATTACTTCACATCCTATTATTGATATAGGCGCTGGCGCAAGCCAATCCTGAAGCTAAATTTTGCATTTGACGAGGGAGAACCGCATCCCAAACATGTTTGCGTTGTTGCTCAAGGTGGCCAGAAGACTACATTTTTACTAAACATAACAATATCATCTGCTTATTTTAAACCAACAAGGGAATTTCCTGGTAGAAGACTGATCCCTGGTATGTTGAACGGTGAAAGTGTTATCTCTGAAAACATGTCTATGAGAAAGTTAAATGGAGAAATCAAATAACCCTGACAAACACCACTTGAAGTAACCAATTACGATGACAGTTCATCATAACTTCTAACTCGACCGGTAGTGTTTGAGTGGAGAGGCTGTTAAGATTAATGTAATCCTTTAGTACGCCTTTCAATGAGACAATACCATAAAACCTCACAGTCGAGAGTCGAACACCGTCTTAAGGTCAAAGAATACAACTATGGTCGGACGTCGAAAAGTATGCTTATGTTCCAGAACCTACCGAATGGTGAGTATTCGGTCTATACATCCACGTGCAGGACTGAAACCGGTCTAGTTTTCTCGAATTCACCCTTCACAAGTTCTAGTTAGACGTCGAAATATTATTGAGACTAATGTTTTAGACACTATATTAGTTGGAATGATTCCTCTGTGATTGTGACAAGAGGAGTTATGTCCGTTCTTATAAACTGGGAAAATCAGAGATCAAGTCCAGTTAGATGGGATTGTTATTTATTTGGACACATGAATATTGATACAAGAGAGCGCCAATATATATGCGCCACACAAAACAATGAAAATTCGAGAAGAATACAAAGAAAGAAAAAAAGCTAAGGAGCGCAACAACAAAAAAAAGAGAGAACAATAACGAAGAGATTGGTGTAAGGTAATGTGCTAGTAATCAGGGAACGCAAAGGTACAATCGGAAGAAATCTTTCAGGTAAGGGAGACAGAACCACTTTTATGAAGAAAGTAAAAGAAGGTTACAGCAGGATCGCCACTGGCTTCTATTCTGAGCCATATCTGATAACGTCTCTAGCCACTGTGTGGCACCATCTCTCAGACCCCAACCAGGGAGTCGTGAAGGGCCAACACAAGCCAGTCCTTTGCAGCTTTCTTTCATGCCACGACACCATGTCATGCACTGACCACCTCTCCGCTTCTTCCAACCAGTCCCAGAGTCGGCAAATAATGCACGACGTGGAATTCTCTGGGACGACATTCGGAGAACATGTCCAAGCCACCGAAGTCGGTGTTTCAAGATGGTGACACCAATTGAATTATCATCTCTGTGCCCGAACACACGATGCCGAACCTCTGCATTACTGACATGGTGTTGCCACTGAATGTCAGCAATCCTTCGGAGACAGCGATGATCGAACACAGAGAGTCGTCTAACGTCCTCAACTCGGAGAGGCCAGGTTTCACAAGCATAGAGCAAAACTGCTCTCACCGACGCGTTGTAGATCCGACCTTTTACGGCCAGACTAACATCACGAAGGCGCCATAGATGGCCCAGATTGGCATAAGCCGCTCTGGCTTTCACTATTCGTGCATTGATCTCATCACTCACACCCCCACCAGCACTTATGCAGCTACCCAGATACACGAACTTCTCGACTACGTCTATCTGCTCACCATCCAGGGTGAGTACAGGATTGGAATCCTGCCAGTCTTGTAGAAGTACTTTGCACTTCGAAGGTGCAAAGCACATACCATACCTACGGACACTGATTGCCAACTGATTAAGTGCGGATTGCATGCCTTGGGCATTATCGCACAGTAAGACAATATCGTCCGCATACTCAAGGTCGAGAAGTCTTTCTCCAGGCAACAGATCCACACCACCATTACTTACATTCATCAGAGCTGTTTCCAGAATGTCATCGATGGCAAAGTTGAAGAGGAATGGTGAGATTGGGCAACCCTGCCTAACCCCACTGCTCGAATGGAACAATGGAGAGAGGTGGTTGTATGCCCTCACTCTGCCTGAGGTGTTTGTATATAGGGCTTTTTGGATGTTAACAAACTTCTCAGGCACACCCTTCTTCAATAGACAATCCCAGAGAACAGTCCTATCCAACGAATCGAAGGCAGCCCTGATGTCAAGAAACACTACGATTGTTGGCCTTTGAAAAGTATGGCGGTGTTCTAACATTTGGCGGAGGGTGAAAATATGATCAATACATCCTCGACCAGAACAAAACCCAGCCTGCTCCTCGCGAGTCAATCTTTCTCGGGTTTTGAACAACCTACGAAGTATGACGGAAGCCGACAGCTTGGACACAATCGGAAGTAGACTTATCCCCCGATAGTTGTTACAGGAACGACGTGAACCCTTTTTAAAGATAGGGACAACTATCGACTCATTCCATGACGTTGGTACACTCTCTAGTTCTCAGACTTTTGTAAACAACTTCGTCAGTTCCGTAGTCAGAAAGTCACCACCATCTTTAAAAAAGGCCGGAGGTAAGTCATCTGGGCCAGGTGATTTGTAACGCTTCAAGAGTTGAAGTTCCTTGCGAACTTCCGCCTCATTTGGTGGATCAGTCGTCACGGCCATGGATGGCACGACAGTTCGACCGATGTTGCGGGAGCAGCAGGCCAGTTGAACTGCCCTTCGAAAAATTCTGCCTATCGTCCAAGACGTCGATGGATGTTAGTGATTGGCATCCCATCATCCTCGCAGATTGTTTCACTCACACCAGACTTCTTGCTGCCAGTGGCTCGGATGAGCTGGAAGAGCTTCCGGTAATTACCAGATGCAGCTGCTGCTTCCAACTCATTAGCACGCTTCGACCACCAGGCTTCTCGGTCCTTACGCAAGCTTTGCCCGATTTCCTTACGTAACATCCTTCGTTTATGGTCAAACTCACGGTCACCCGGAGTAGACCGACGGGCTTCAATGAGTTGTAAGGAACCAGAAGAAACCCAGTGCTTAAAAGCGGGACGTTTCGCAAACCCACAACTGACTGTTCCCGCCATTTTCATGGCGTCATGCAATTGCAACCAATGCTCATCTATACTTTTCGGTGGAGTGGTAGCTAGCCTAGAGGCTAGCTCGGTTCGATACTTACTTGCAACAGAAGTTGCAACCAGCTTGCTAACATCAATCTTTTGGTGGTGGTCACTTCGTTGGCCACTGAAAAGTAAGGTAAGATTGGCGCAGACCAAGGCATGGTCAGAGTCCAGATAGGTACTCCAAAAGGAGCGGCAGTCTTGTACACAACCACGCCAGCGGTAGCTGATCGCGATGTGATCAATCTGAGTCCAGGCTTGAGATGCAGAGGGAGGACGCCAGGTGGCACATCGGCGATGACTGTGCCGAAAGTTAGTGCTAGCCAGAAACAGGTTGTGGTCTGTGCACAGTTGCAGTAGACGGTCTCCGTTATCTGACCTGCGACCAACGAGTCCCCATCGGCCACCTAAACGACTCTCTTCTGTGCCTAGACGCCCGACCTGAGCATTCAAGTCTCCGGCTAGTACTACAATATCTGTCGAACGCACTTTCTGGAGAAGAACAGATAACTGGTGGTAAAACTCATCCTTGATTGCATCCGGGCTGCAATCTGTCGGGGCATAGGCGGAGATGACGAAGAGACATCGTTTCTCACGCCGATTTCTTCTCACTTTGATGGAACTTTCTAATCTAACAGCACATAACCGACTGTTAATGGGGATCCAATCGACTAGTGCTGCCTCAGCTCTAGCGCTTAGTGCGACACCAACGCCTGCAAGACCAGACGAAGATGCCACAGGGTCCCCGGATAAGCGCACGTAAAACAAGCTTTTTGAAGTGACAGATGTAGAGCGAATTTGTAGTACTTCGCTAGAGTCTTGAATACGGGTCTCGGATAGACAACAAACATCAATATTAAGACTTTCCAAAGACATAGCCAGCCCTATCTGTTGACCAACCTGCATAAGTGTGCGAACATTGAAGGCAGCCAGTTTGAATGGCGCACGTGGTTTCAGAAAAACTGCTTCAGTACTCATATTCGATGGTAACATACAACTTTCAACCGGACAGTGACTCGAGAACGTTTAGATACAGTCGGATTTCCACCAAAGCCGAGCCGCTGTATAAGTATGAAAGAGGGTGAATAATGTGGAAAATAATAATAATAATAATAATAATAATAATAATAATAATAATAACGACAATAATAGTAATAATAATAGTATTAATAATGACAATAATAGTAATGATAATTATTTGAATCGACTGATTGTTTTTGTTTTTCGGAGCGATAAAAGTAGTTGCCAAAGACATAGAGTTCATCGTTTGTGTGTGGGCTGTGATACTGCCCGGGTGCCCAAACCGAAGCAGGTGGTTTTCTTAGGGGGCCACTCCCCGAGCCTTTGACCTAAAGGTCTAACCCACAAGGCAGTGGAGCATCGTAAGGAGATGCAGTCCCATGGAAGCCGGTGACCAAAGATTGGTTGATACGCCATTTGTTCCCGTAAGATACTGGAGCCCATGTGGACCATTGGTTTGGAATCCGGTTAAAGCGCCGGATTGCGTCCACTTTAGCTAAGATTCCAATTAATCTAACTGCTAAACCTGGACTACCATTTTAAAAAATTAGTAGCCAGTTCGTCAGGTTCGCCTGCTCTCCTTTTCTTTAGATTGTTTATAGCCTTTTCAAATTCAATAAGGGCTGGATGAGTTGCGTCAAGTTGGCATTCAGGTTGCTTGGAGATATTTGGCAACTGATGTGTGATTGAAAACCAGCTGAACTGTTCACTAAAGTGTTCTGTCCAGTAGGGCAATCTTCTAGATTGAAAGTAAATAATAGTTTGGTCCTTTTCACTAACAGCCGGATTTTTAATACCTGTTTCCTTAATAAATGTGAACAATTGTCTATTTCTACCTATCGCTGCTGCCTTTTCTATCTATTCTGCTTCCGCTACCTACAACTACTTACGCTCATTATATAGGCTTTTGATCAGCCCGTGTTTAGGTTGCCTCTGCTCCTCATCGTGTTCGGACCCAGACGGGATGTTTTCGAGCACCTATCAATTCTTTAGACGCCGCTGAAACCCACTGCTTTCTCTTAACCTTTTGCTTTAAGCTACTGGTAGATATCACTGCTATTTTCACAGCTTTTTGAAAATCATACCAAGAGATTTTAGAGTCCTGGCTAAAGCTTATTGTCTTATCTGATACAAGGTCCGAACAATAAAAGCTCCAACATGTAGTTCCGAGAGTGGTTTCAGGTGACCAGGAATAACATTTCGTAAACTCATTGGTGGCGTGTAGTGATAAAGATATACGAGAAGGGTTAGTCGTATAGACGGAAGAATTATTTAGAGGTGAGGGCTGGATTTTAAAGTCAACAATAGGATCTCGACTGCCGATAGAGGTATGAGGGCGTTTGTCACTTCACGGTCACCCACATCGTAGATATTTCTTCTAGAGGCCTGAAAAAGAAGCTGAATTAGTAATGGTTTGTGCGACCTGGAAGTGCGATCGCAAAGACTAAGGCATAAATGCTTGACGTCGATAGCGTACGGTATCTTTATGGGAAGCTTTCGTCGTATTAGCTCCGCACCTGAGGCTTTACCGCCGAAGGAGATCTATGGGGTAAGGTGGTGTGGCATTATCAGGGTCGACCTTTTCTGACCCCTTCCTCCCTTCGTGATAAGGCGATATCGCTACAGATGCTGATTCTCTTCGGGAAACACCTTACTGCTGTCACGCCTCTCTACAGTCAGCAGTACGACTTCGTCTTAGGACCTTAAGTTGCTGCTTTTAGTCTTACCGCTCTTCAACCGATCTGTCTGACATAGTAAGACCTAAGGGGACGTGTTCCAGCCAATACAGCTCAGTTAAGTCATCACGATAGGCAAGCCTGACTACTACGTCAGGTCGGAGATTCTCTTTGAAGTTACATTGAAGTCTGTAACTAAATCAACAAAGCCAAATGAGCCGAGTTTGTATCGACTGCATTTCGTGGATGTGTCGAAAATAAACTTTCACCTTGGGATACACGAATGCACATTTATAAGTCCCCTTGCTCTTATGGAACAGGTTACAGTGACTGCACAGAGTGAACGTTCTCTAAACTCATCTCCGAGGATTACCACGTGGCTTTCCAAAGAAGGTAAACAATCAACAGCGCAATACCGGAACATCTTGTAGATTCCTGTTACATAACCGCACCAGATGGTTTTTACAAGTATCTATATGTTTAAACGATATGGTTCGAAGGAGAGATAGATCAATTACCTATGCATTGCAGGGTGTTAGCAAATCATCGTTTCAAATTAAAACCATGTGAACAGAAGTGACACTTCCAAGCTCTCATCCTACCGTGGTACTAATACTCAATTTTCCATACTCGGTAGATTATTTGTTAGTACTGTCTTCCGAGTTTTTTTAAAGTTTTTAGTAACTTACGACTGACTGATCACTGAGTAGCTACCAGTGTCATGTTTGTCTAATCCTCTTTTAGTGCTGATTTAATTCTATCCATCAGGTTACAATATGGACACTAGTCTAAGTGACACAACATTGCAGCCCCGAACAGCTCAGTAGAAACACCCCAGGCTGTGACGCTAAATGACAAAGATCGAATCCGCCAGTTTCGGCAAGATTACAGGTACAAGTTACTGATGGGTTCCAAGTATCATGAAACCTGAGCCCGAGTTTCCGAAAGACTACCCCAAACCACCTGAAATTTTAATTACTATTTTCACTTTCACGTCATCCTTGTCAAGTGGGCAACTATCTTTCATCTATTCGGTTTTAGACTGTCGTTTTTCGACTTCTTGTTCATCACGTGGTCCTCTTTCAACACATGAAGTTACCTAAATGCTATTGTGTAGTCCCTCCACCTTTCAACAGACTACTTTATCCGAGAAATCGGTATAAATACGATTGCACAGTTTCGGAAAATGACACTGTAGGAAAGAAAATTTTCTTCGCTGAACTACTTTCAATCTAAGGAAAACTAAACAGCGAAAGATTCTAACAAATTCACAACTCCCAAGAAAATAAACTCAGGCTTACATCAGATTCATGGGTTCAAAGTTCCATTCAACTCATTTTTACCAGGATATGCCATGAATCATCGTAGTACGGATCCCTGAGCAAGGCTATGATATTATTACTTTTTAACTCCAAATGGGGTGGAAATGGAAAGTGCGTAAGTTCTTAAGGACGGTATTACTTAATTATTTGATTTAAGATGTTATATTAACTAGGTGAAGTGGGATTAAGAGAGGGAACTTAGTATAAATAATACCGAGATCATACAAAACGGAATTTAGGTTACAAACTATTTGACAACCAACCTTGAACGTCGAGCTACAGGACGCGAACCAGGTCGACTTGAATCAGAAGAGTCTGATGCTTCTGAGGAAAAAACACGCTGAGACATGGACTGATGTTTCTCCTGAATTTTGCCACGTGGCTTTGGACTATTATCATCACTATCTGATGAACTCCCAGAACTATTTTGGGCGGATATATCCACTTCGTCTGATGTATGAGTTCGACGCTTTTTAGCAGCCTGTTGTTTGCGACGCTCGATGAGTTCCTGAAATTTATCCCTGTGAGCCACCTAAAAAAGAATTTCCCAATGATCACAGTTTTACAAGAAAAAAAGATAATAAAATGTATTGATAACTAGTAACCTATCAAGACAAATTGTGCAACAAAGCAAAAGCGAGCGGTTTGAAATCAGGTTTAGCAAACAGAAAAACATACCTTCTTTTTCTCCAGGGCAATCTTACGTTGTCTAAGGCCTTTTGGTCCAAGACCACTTGAATCACTATTTTCTGCCTCATCGCTGTCTGAAAATACGTTGTGATAAGCAGATCTTTTAGATTTTGAATCCCCGGTAAGTTGCTTGGATAAAGAGGCTACCTGTTGAGCTTTCTCTCTTTCTCGTCTTTCTTTTAGCTTTTGTTTTACAGCCTTGCGGGCTCGTATGGCATCTCTTCTCTCAGCTCTCTTGAATAGCTCTTCTTCTCTTTCTTTTTCACTCATTTTCGCCAACCGACGCTTATCATCTTCCCCACCGATTAAGTTGTCATCCAGGCCATCATCTTCGTCTTCATCGAGGTCATCACTAGATACTTCACCCTCCTCAATTCCACCTGACTTTGAATCACGTGTTGTCTCATCACTCGGAACCGAGGTCTTCCTGTGCTTGTGACGTGATTGTAGCCACTGGAAAAAACATTTGGATACGCATTAGTTTAAATACCGTAAAGTTTCATATTTCGGATTGCTCAAGTACTTACCTTCACTTCGTCATCACTGTCCGAAGAGTCAGAGCCAGAAAGACGACCTTTCGCCATTCACCAAGAGTACTATGCAGCCACCCTGATAAAGTGGGTCGCTGAAATCCAGTAAGGACCGGTTGTAACCAGTAAGTCGTAAGTGGACAGAGCAGTAATCTGTATTTAAAAAGGAATACTTGATTAGTTTGTAAACACTTTCATAAGTACATAGTACATTTATTGTTTTGTTGGGATTTTAAAGCCCCTAGGTGTTAGATAATCATCTGACACCTAAAAAACCAATAAGCATGGTCTAAGTAATAAGTCTGTTGACCATGCAGGACGCTGAATTCTTTGAGTAAATTAAGACTTGTCGATAAGTGAAGACTGCAGTCTTCATTTTTACTTCATATGAAGTAAAAATATTAATTAGTCAGCAGAACAGCAGTCTGTACTCAAAAAAGAAAATTTTAGCTGGATGATTATGTGAAACAAATCAAGAGAGTATGGAGGAGTAAAATAACTAGTTGATTTGATATAGAGACAGGTTAACTACCTCAGGACAATGAAATACGCCGCACCCTTAAGTTTTTAAATGGTAGTCCTGAGTTGACCTTCACAGCCTGTCTTAGGTAGTTAGGATTGTATGTAAACTGACTTTTTTTTAATGCTTGCAGCTTGATTTCCGGGAAGAACTTGACTCCCTCTTGAAAGTGCTTACTGCTTCGACTGATAACAATTGTTTGAATGAGACATTTTAGTCGTTGGCGGCTCGAAAAAAGCGGTGGTGGTTTTTGAACCTTCTTGTGAGGGTTTCGAAGATGATTAGCTTCTGATGGAGAAACATGACAAGATATGTTGACACTCATCGGTATTTAGGACACGAAATACCAATATGAGGTCACTTAGTGTTCTACGATAGGATAAGGGGACAGAGTCCAAGCGTTTGTAGCGGTAAATAAGTCTCCAACATAAATAGTCCTGTATGTCCTAGATACTGATACTGGCCTCATTAGTTTTACTGGACACACTCCGGATGAATGTTCTCGGTCACGCATCTGCACCAGATCACGAGTGGGTATGCCACGCATCCCATGCGACTACTGGCCAGCTTAGATGAAACGCCTATCAGCACACCGACAACCTTACCAAATATATCTTCGGACTCATTCATCCCTAACTGCTGATTTGAATGGGTTGGTATCCTTCGATTATATAGGTGTTACGTGTAAAGGCGTTGTCAATCCCTGAATATCCATGTCACTATCCTTCATTTTTGTGCTTTAATCACTAATCGTATAAGAATTTGGTATCTTTAATAAGACGCGGGATAGCCGTTTAAATGCAATATTCTAAGTGAGGTATAAAATTCTAAACATGTCTTGGTCGAGCATTTGAAAGCTCAGCGAAGTGACCCTTAACTATCCAAAGCCCTTGGCACCTGCTAAACTGCGATGCCTAGTTGTTTTTCAGTCATGACTAGAAAGCTTAGGTCCTTTTTGCGTATACCTGTGGAAGCAGTGTACTACTGATGGTATACTGGACAAGCAATAATTAATTAGCGGCTATAATTAATCTCCAAATCATAAATTCAGGACCACTCGACCGAATTGTCTGAATCAATCTGAAGATAACATTTGTCAGCCTTACTACGTATTTCTTTTTCAGACTTTAACATCTCTAAACGAGTGTCAGCAAATTAGGTGGTCTTGGTAATTCATTGACGTTATGAAGAAGAAATAGGATGCCCAAGATAGTGACTTGACGCACAACACTCTAAACTGGTCGTTACCAACAAAGTGTCTTTTATTTTCCTTCTCTGTCCCCGGTAACAGGTGAAGTTTCTTACCCACTCACACGTGTTACTGTTACTTAGAAGTTGGAGGACTTTTGAATAAGTACTAAATAAAACACCTTATCAAATGCCATGGCACAATCTGTGAACATTACATCGATAGCCAATCTGCCATCTTAGACTGCTGTCCAACCCTCTTTTTTAATCCCTAAGTTAGTCAGACATGAATGTATGCTCCAAAAGCCGAGTTACCTAGAAGTTAACAGATTATATGACTCCATATGATCTGGTTACTTGTCCCAATATTGCGTTGAAAATATCTGAACCGCTATGCTAGTTATACCATCGAATCCGTGATTAGACATGATTAGTCTTTTACAGTACTTAAATATAAGACTAACAATACCATTCTGCCAATCCCTAGGAGGAGTTTGGGAAAGGGACATGCTGAACACTACTGTGAATGATTTCAAAATGTTTGAGAGGGGTGGTAGTGAACTAGGGTGTAAGTTCTCAGGGCCCCGTGGCTTATTAGACTTAAGTATGGTTAGTAATTGGTACATGGCTTCCCTAGTAATAAAAACTGACCCTGTAGTTGGTACTTTAGCAGCCCAGCTATGAACGATGTTGATATAACTATCATAGGAATAGACATGCACTTACGTACCCTTTTTTCTTTTCCAGGACATCTGTAAAAAGTGGAAAAACGACCAAGTTTACGGTGAATCGGACGTTCCATTGTACCTGTCTCTCATTGCTATATTGTGCCGCATAGCCCTTTATGGTAAAGGAGGACGTCCAGACACTTCTGAATCTAGCAAGCTATCAGAAGAGTGTTTACTATTGACAAACCTCTGACTGGACACTTCTTGGATCATCACTACCCCACTAGGAGAGACTGATCTGCAGCGGTGAATAAATCCTAAAAATCAATTGCTCTGTAAACCTTTAGCATTTGATGCTGATCGCATCAGTTTTACTGGACTCACCCGGCTGAAGATGCTCGACCATGCATCCTCACCAGACTACGAATGGGTACGCCGTGCTAAACATCTCGTACAACCGCAAGCCAGCTTAGATTGATCACTTCTCGATATATCAATGGACTATCAAATATATCTTTGAACCTCTTCGTGTTTGACTTCAGATTTCACCGGATTCCCACATTTCGATCATAACATATGTTCCTGGTTAAGGTGTTGTCGAACTCCTAATACTTGTACCATTTTAAGGTTCATAAACAATCCTTGATAGCATTTAAATGCTTCAGTGAAATAGACTTGTTAAAGCATCAGCCACTAGAAAATATGACCCAGAATCGACCCAGACACATATTGGCTGGATATGTAAGCAAAGACTGAACAGTTATCTAAATCTAATTCTCCGTCTTGTTTCTTCATTCGACATCTTACTCCATTTCAAACTATGGGCTATCTCCCAGTACCTTTTATTTCAACCATTGCTTGCCTAACTTCAAGTTTTCGACTTTTATTGTCAAATGATGAAGACAATATTCCAGAAACTTACCGTTAGTCTGGACTATAATGTTTCTGCGGTCTTAAACTCGTTTTGGATTATTCATACGGCAAGAGCTGCGAATTCGTTGCCTGCAATGAACCGACCTATGTGATGGTAGCCTCACTCCCTTCCCTACTCCGTCTCTTGTTAATATATTTCCGTAATAACCTCGTTTGTGTTCAAATGGTTCAAATGGTTGTGGACGGAATAGAAGAAGCTTTCGCTTAACAGGCTTCCGTGTCTAGTAGCAGGGGATCACCAAATCCTCCAGGCAGGAACCTAGGTATGTTAACAATAAAAGAGGAAAAGAAATTGGTAAATCATAGTGCGATGCTGTCCTTGGTCCTTAAGAATAGGTCAAGTTGCCTCTTGAAGGACTCCTGAGAAGTCGCTTGGACTAGCTCGGACGGCAGCGAGTTCCAGCTTTTGACAACTCTTAAGGAGTAGAAGTTGTGTCTACATTCCGTCTTGCTATGTTGTGTTTCCAGTTTCTGGGTGTTACCCCTTAGGTTATTGTTCGAACTAAGCTTAAGTAGGTGTTTAAGAGGATGTCCAGAAGTGTTAAGAATACTATAAGCCATTAATAAATCACCTCTAAGACGCCTATATTCTAGTGGGTGAAGGTCTAGTGAACGGAGGCGTTCTTCGTAAGGCTTGGATTTGAGTCCTCGAACTGATTTCGTGGCTCGCCGTTGGATACGCTCCAAAGTGACCTTATCCTTTTGGAGTGAGGGGGGGAGTACTATGTTTCCGTACTCTAAATGGGGACGGATGAAACTATTGAAGATTGTGTGGAAAGTTCTTCCGTCAAACTGGTCATCACAGCAGACATAGAACCTGGATGCTGACCACATGTTTTAATGGACTCACCTAGATGAAGGCGCTCGGTCATGCATCCACATCAGATCACGAGTGGGAACGCCGTCCTCAACATTCCCTGCAATCGCTAGCTAGATTAGGTCAGACGATTCTCGATATATTGATAGTCTATCAAATATATCTTCCAATCTCCTCGCTTCTGTCTTTTGATTTCACTTGGTGGGTACTTCTTCATAATAGGTGTTACTGATTAAAGTGTTGTCAAGCGCTGAATACTTGTGGCATCTTCATCATAACGTACGTTCTAGCTAAACGTGAACCGCCAAATCTGGTAGTTTCATCTCATAGACAATTTCCTCTGGTTTTGACACTAAGTTCTCACAATACAGCCATAATGAGTAGTTACTACACAAAAGCATTCATGTTAACACAACATTGATGTCTGGAAATCACTTTTAATGTAATAATGTACCTATGGTATTGGATATTGAAAATGTCAACGATTTGAAGTTGGTGTCACGTTCGGTTTACTTGAAGGTATGGAAAACTTTTATTAGTACGTAGTATGTTTTCTAGGTCACTTTTTCTTTCTATTTAAGTTTTATTCAGCCTTATTCGTAGTCAGTATTTCTTGATGGGCAATCAGAAGTGTTACAGAAGTTAGTTTTTACCAAATCTCAATTGTTGACAACTTCGAACTTCTTTGTCTTAGACGGCAGTTCCAAACTGTGTTCTGAAGTTAGGAACTGATTCCGGGATTCATATTTCTTGAGAACGTTCAACCTCTTTGGTAACAACCGACAGGCCTTTCCTCCTGAATGAATTACCCAATTTTTGGGAAGCCGCTATAGAAAATTTGAGGAACGTAGCACCAAAACCCCCAAATTACTCTTAAACCTTGGGGGACCCCTCAAAATTTCGAGTTATTTACTAAACTGAATCTGAAGCATTGGGGTACATATTCACCCACCATATTAACGGGGGATTGCAAAACGTTGTTTCTAAACCACTGTTAAGAAAAGCGAATTGATCCACATATCATTCTGCGGTAAGACTATATCTCATGGACGACCTTTGAACGAATTTTTAAGTGACCTTGAAACTATTAGCCAATCAGAAGACAGTTAGTATAAAGTGAAAACATATTATTAAAAACTTATGAATTACAGCGGTAATTCTGTTTTTACATGATTTAAAGACTTGTTAAGGTTAGATAAAGGTTCAGATGTCCTGAAATCATAGTGCATGAGGTTAGGGCTTAGGTTAGGGTTCGGGGTTAGGGTTAGGGTGCACAAATCCAAGTCTATGGAGGCATCTATACGCTTTCCTATCATCGGTATATATCGTACTGTCAGGCTGCATGTACTGTAACATCTGCAAAAGCCGCAGCCAGTGTTACTGGTGGCTTCATAATCCAATTTGCAACAACTATCATGATTTGCCTTAGTCTGAGTCGTGATCGAGCGAAGAAAGTGCCAGTTCGAGCAGATTTTATCTTCTAACATATAGTAGAACGAAATCTAATGTCATCACGGTAGTCTGCACATCGTGCTGCAGTTATTTGATTGCCGCAGTCACAGATACAGGAATTTCTTAATAGTCCCATCTGTTGTAGTCGCTCAAAAATCACCTCTTCTCTAAAATCTGCTGTAAAACGATCGAATGTGGGCATCTCGTATTGAACTTAGCGCCGTGACCTTGAAATTCCTCAAACGCTTCTGATGGGCTCGTCCATAAATTAGAGTCTTACCTTCTCGGGTGCGTATAGCTTCGTGGACGCTGTGATACGATGGAATCTTTTTAAGGACGCCATTCTGTTCGTCAATTTACGCTCCTTTGTCAGTCATAAACCACGTCCGTTCGGCCGTCCTTCTGGCTGAAGTCTAGTACTCACAAACTTACCAGGAGTAAGTAAGCTGTCTAAAACAATTGGAATCACTTCAACACTATTCATACTACAAGGTATTGTGTAAAACATACACGAGGTAAAATAACTCATCGGGTTCGTCTAATGACTTCCATGGAAAGAAATCGAGATTTTGCTCAACTTTATAAAGCAGAGGAAGATGAAGACACACAACACATTCAATTTCCCAGACAGAGATTTCTAGACAGCCTATAGCTCTCATAATGGGGTCGTTGGACAACTGCCTAGAAAGTTCCAATCCGATTACTCCTGGTTTGCTATATCCCCTAATCTTTTCCCATGTTAGTCTAAGTATAGTGTTGTTTGAACCTCTGAAAATCATAAAGTTTCTAAGATGTCTAGATCAACATAAATCCGTTTGTTCAGAGTGAACCCAATTCATAGTCCTAGAATCATGTGCAGACCTACTTAGCTTCCCTCTTGTTACATCAAATGTCCTTTAGTCAAGGATAGGTTACTCTCTGACGAAAAAATAGTGCAGTCATACCCATATACAAATAAGTTAGTAACTTGAGGTTTATAGTTATCGTTGCAAAGGGTTTTCTACGTGACACACCATCGACCCGTGTGAAAAAACACAGGTAGTTCTTTATATGCACACTATACTCTGCCTGTGCACTCCATTAATTTACCCCACGTTCACACCAAAATTTCTATGCAAAACTGCTGTAATCTCCCCGTCCAACTAGGGTTGTTTCCAAACACTTCGTCGTTTCCTCTTACTCCGTTTATTCCTGTAATAGCAGAAGAGACAGAGGTTTTACAATCATTAGAGCTTTTCCTGAGCAGAATACGCTTCTTCAATCAGTTATAGCGAACAAATAAATTCCTTAAGTTTTGCGTTCTTTCCGTTATCTAATAGGTCTTGTCTTTGACTTGACGGTTCATCAAGTAGGGTCCAATTCACTCATTTTTCTTCCTACCTCCTGGTTGACCCACAACCATCTGCTTTACTACCAATTTCCAAAGGGGAACTTCAAATCTTGCGATCGTTATTGCGTTTTCTTCGAATTCTCTCGGACCCAGCCGTGGTAGCCTACAATATCACCTATTAATTTGACTGCCATCTCAGAAATCGTTAACGGATCAACCCATTAGCTTACAACAGTTGCATCACTGCGAAAGCATATTTTCCTTCCTATCCACAAGTGTAATGCATGTACTTATTTATTTGTTTTATTTATTTTAACACATATTGGTACAAGGAGGCACCAAATACATATGCGCCACACAGATCTCATTTGATGTGTGAGGGCTGTGATACTGCCCGGGTACCCGAACCGAAGCAGGTGGTGTTCTTAGGGGGCCACACCCGGAGCCTTTAACATGGTCTGATCCACAAGGCAGTGGAGCATCGTAAGGAGATGCAGTCCCATGGTAGCCGGTGACCAACGATTGGTTCATACGCCATTTGTTCCTTCAGGATACTAGAGCCCATGTGCACCATTGGTTTGGAATCAGGGTTTTCCAACTGCCCTAGATGGACTCTCCATGTACTACAAACTCATGTAGGCTTCCACTGCATACCAACAAACAATGTAGTAGCAGTGTATTCCAAAATGACGCCTATCTTTGTTAAATGCCTTATTTTTGTAATTTTATTTTACAAATTTGAATTTCTTGTTCTTGTGCCAAAAGCGACCATTTTCACCTTTTCCACCACCTTCATGTCGTATTTCTCATTTGGGAGGACCTTAAATGTGCTATTTTGTAACGTTTCCCAAGGAACTTTTATGCTTTTTATATACACTTGAATTGTGCCTGTGCTTGTTCGTGCTTTTACCTGCTTGTGGAATGCATTTTCTCTCTTCTGAATCAAGGCGTTTCTCTAGTTAGCGGGGCTGGGGTGCATCAGGACAGTTAGCTTATTTGGTTATTATGTCACTAAGTTTTCATTTTGTCCGCAGGTTTAGGTGAACTCATAATCCCTTTAAACATAGCAGTCTCAATGGACGTTCTAAATAATTCTCCAAAAATTATATTCGTCACCTCTACCAACCCCCTACCTTCAGGATAATAGGCTGTTCGCTTTCTCTCAATCTTGAACAGCTGGTGTGACTTTTATCAGCATGCTTTCAAAATTAAATCACTTGTCTGAGTGCCTTTGTTTATTTATTTAAAAGAAAACATTGGTCAAAGGAGGTACCACATAGATATGCCCCACATAAATCACTCGATTTGTGTGAGGGCCGGGACACTGCCCGGATGCCCAAACCGAAATAGGTTTGGGTGCTTCCCATCGTTTTGTTCACTGACCAAACAATGCCTTTTCCACCGCGTCTGCATCAATCTTTCTCACAGGAACTGTTCCGCCCTATTTTGTAAAATAATTAACCATTACTAGAGTATACTTCCTTCTATTGTTTCCTATAGTGGTTCAATTATATCAACTGCCAGCTCTTAGTCGGTGAATTCAGCTTTCATATTTACCAGTGGTACCATATGTTTCTTCTGGGGCTTCTTTACCCCACCACAAACCTGACGACTTCCAAGGTAATTTCGGACGTCCTGCTGTTGTCGTGGCCATCAATACTATTGCCTAAACCACCTTGTTTCTTCGTTCATGTCTCAGATCTGCACCAACGTTTTTTGGGAATAATGCAACCATGGATTGTAGTGCCGCGAACCGCTGTGCATAAGTTGATTGTGGCTGCATAAATGAAATACCAACTAAAACTTGTTGGCCTCACAACCCACAGAAACACCGTGCCTCCCAGCTTTTATCCTTAATATTAAGCTGGGCTGGTGGGTCCCTGGTTTCATACGGCGTGATATAATAACTATGTTTCTTCACTTATAGCTAAAGGTGTCTTCATTCCGCTTTACTCAGCCGCGCCAACCAAAAATAACAAATTTTAGGTGTATTTCACTAAGGGCGATCTCCATGTGGTGTAACAGCACCCTCAGACAATGAATCAAGATTTTCACTCTGGCGTCCTGATCGGTGAGTCCATTCAAAGTTGAATTCCCATAGATACTCATGCCAGCGTGCCGTCTCCCACTTCATTAGTCACCGAAGTGCCTTGCAACCAGTCTGTACTAAAAAAAACGTCTACAGAGAAGATATGGTCTGTATTTCTCTGTGAAATATACAACGGCTGGCATTTATTTTCTACTAACACAGTAGTCTCGGACTTATGCAGTGTCTTGCTACTGTATTCAATGACGTGTGTCGGATTTATCACGTTGGTGAAAAAAAGAATGTGCGCCACCCCAATGTCGGCCAAACCCATTAATAGGTTTAAATCCCCGTCTCTTTATAACACCTGATCTTCACATTATTTGTCGCTCATAATCTAGTATGCAAAGCTACAGTGGACTGGTAGTTTGCACTATTCATTTAGAAGCTTTCGAAGCTATTGCAGTGATCATGTTTTAATAACTTCATAGTTTACTAGACACATCTTTTGTTCGTATTCTTTAAAAGTTTACTTTATGTGATACGTTATTTTCTTAATGCTTTTTAGCTTATCATGTATTTAGAACATAACTTGTTTCAATCCTACTATTAACGACAAATGGACTTTTGTTGTTTACCTGTTGGAGTTAATCATTTTTCATTTGATGAACGGTGTAACCTTATTTGTAGAATAATGAAACTGTTTATATATTTTACTGGTCAATTTCCAGATTTATCACTCTTAAATTCTCTTCAAAATGAATCAGATATTGAATTAAAATTGGTATGTTAACTTTTCGTTGATCAATTACTATTATTTTATTGAAATCATGAATCGATCAATGTTAGGCGACTATTGAAAACCTGGAAGCACTGGACACACTAGTGGCTAACTTTGATAGGCAATTTCCGGAGTTCTAGTGAGAAGCCTTAACCAGTGGAGTTTAACCGTGTTGGGTGTTAGGCAGTTACCCACTGAAGACTGTTAGCGGGACATAGATTGGATTAGATCATGCTAAATGCACGCTTGCGTTGGCGCACGCGGATTGGATAAGAATTAGCCAATTAGCGTGCGCCAACGCAATGGAAGATGGTCGCGCAATATTGTGGATTCGTTGGGATTAGACATTAACACCGTCGGATGCCGGCTCAGTGGTCGAGAGGTTAGTCGTTAGTGGGTGAGGTCGAAGGTCCTGGGTTCCGAATCCCGCGTGCTGTGTCGTGAATGCGCACTGTTGAGGAGTCCCATACCGGGACGAAATGGCCTCCCAGTGCTTCTAGATTTCCATTGATGGTCTAACATTCATCGGCTTATGCTTTAAATAAAATTCAACATTCTTCACAATCCTTTACTGACTATTATTATTTTCTACCTACGAGCAGGATAATTTACACTCAAAGGAAGTAAAACTTTTACAATCAATTCATGAGGTTGAATCTAATCTGTTATCATCGAAATCAGAATCTATTCTTTATTTCCTGATTATGATTGGTGGTCTACCAAGTAATCCAAAACGAGCATTTCTCATAGATATCAATGATTTCTATCCTAAAACTACAAATGCCGATAAAACAGATGTTTCTTTCAGAGAATTTTTCGAATCTCTTGTACAGGTTCCGTTTTTTGATAATGTTTTTAAGTGTTCTACTCCTACACGTACTTACATATATATATGTACATCAAAAGATTTTTCATCTTCATGGTTTCTACCTCGATTACAATTTCGTTTACCTCGGACTTGTCCTGTTCATGTATTGAAAATTGTTCCTGATTCTACAGATTCTTATAATCCCAAAGAATTACACAAAGTTTTGTATGAATCACCATCTGAACTACGATGGTATGCTTCTCCGACAGTTTTTTCCGGAGTTAAACCAAAATAAGCTTTTCTATAATCAATCATTGTTAACTGCATAGTGGTGTACGAAATACTTTAATTTCCTAACCATTTGTATATAATGTGTATTATAGTCAACTGAAGTATTTGTGTGATCAAGACTTCTTTGTAATAAAACATTCTAATTTCATTCTCACAATTATTCTCATATACGTTTACATATAGAAAAATAAATAAATGTATGATAATTTACAATTAATTCCTGTTTTTGATTGTTTGTTAGATATGTATTTTGACAAATCTATATGGTAGTGTGGTGTGTAGGCGAGATATCCGTCTACCAACCAAAGGACGTGTTTACTGCGCAGCAGTTCGTACCGTCATAATTTATGGCTGTGAAACATGGCCGGTAAGAGTAGAGGATGTTCGTAGGTTACTAGTATTCGATCATAGATGTCTTCGAAGCATTGCTCACACATCCTGGGACCACCGAGTAAGTAATACGGTTGTTAGGAAACGGGTACTAGGTAAGGATGGCAAATTAATTGATGAAGTAGTGGAACTTCATCAGTTGAGATGGCTGGGACACGTGTTACGTATGCTCAACCACCAACGAGCGATGTTTTATAGTGTAGGAAAAGTTTGAGAGAACGTTAGGGAGGGGCAGACCAAAACATGGCACAAGTCCATGAAGTCACTGACAAGTGGACTGAGTTATGTTGGTAGGTGTAGACTACGTGGTTGGGATCCGAGCGACAATAGCAACCGATGGTTAGAGACCTTGGATGACATGGCTCAAAATCGTTTGCAATGGCGCAGGTGAATCCACTCTTTGTGTTCTCCTAAATCCTGATCTGAATTCTTCATGTCCCTTCTATTTCCCAATTTATTTCACTGGATTACACTCTTTGAATAACATCTTCAAATCCTGATCATTCCGATTATTGCTTATATTTTAACTACCAATACAGCTACGGGATTTTGAATCGACAATTACATTTGTGTGCTAGTGTGGTATGGTAACTCGAACTGATGTACGTACGTACGAAGTTCTACGTTGTTACTGATTGGAGTGTGGTGTGTGTTACTTATATCGACATAAGTAGTATATGACGTTAGTCGTGAACAGAAGGTCTGGCAGCGGACAGACAAGAGGATCGGACAGTAAAGAATGGAAACAGAATGCAGTTTGTATGAGAATGCAAGGACAATGAAGTCTGAGTCGTTTTGAGACAATTGATTGACACTGCAAATTAGGCATTTACTACACGACTGTTAGATTTTATTAAGAAGTTCTGTAATTTTCTGTCAAATACATTCGATTGTCCCCACTGGTGTTTTGTTCACTACATTTGATGTCGCTGCCAACCAGAAGGGAAAGGGTACTGTTCTGCGGACACCGTTGTGGGCCTGAAGTTGGTGTGTTAGTTGGGATAGTTTGGTGCGGAGAGTCGACATCGAGTGGAGTGGTCTGGCGGGACGAATGCTTTAAAGGGGGGACTAGTGTGGTGTGGGTTACTTATATCCACACAAGTAGTATATAACGGTGGTCAGGCATAGAATGTATTTCAGTTGAATGTCGATGAGGAAAGAACGGCAACGGAACGCAATTGGTATGAAAATGCAGGAGCAATGAAACCTGAGACAATGGATTGATGTTTGCAACAGGAACAGTCAAGTTTGAGATGATGGATTGATATTTTGCAAATTAACGATTTACTATATGGTTCTCAGATTTTAGTGAGATGCTCTGTAATTTTGTGATTTGAGAAGGATATTTTATTTGCTTGACGAAGAGCAGTTGTTCCTCTTATTGATTTAGAATGCTAACAAAGCATGTTACATTATGAAATGTAATACACCATTAATCATACTGGGGGGAATTGTGCAACATTCATTTTTTTCCTCTTAGTTGAACAATAATAAAAACAAAAAGCATCTGTCTCAAATGTTTTCATTTTCCAACCTCCGATTACTCTGCTTTTTACCTTACTGTATGTGTAGACAGACAGGTATTATCAACATAAAGCACGGCGCAAGTTTCTGTACGACGATATGTGTAGCGGAACTCCAAGCAAGCCTATTGATGAAGCAGTCTTCTGAATAATTTAAGAAAATGAGTTTGGATGGTTTTCTTGTTCTTCTAAATTCGAAATAACTCCCTATCAATGGTCTGCATCAGTTATTGTTTTAACAATAACAGTTATGGTTGTTCGATGTTCCGGTCACTTAGTTGATATTTAGTTGTTCTTAAGTGCGGATAAAATGTTACAACTCTTCTAATCGTCTCCGTCTGCTTACCTGCTTTTACACAACGGATGTCTTCAACAAACACATGATAAGAATAGTTAGCTATTAGAGTCTGGATAGTTCTGCTTCACATAATTCTTCTAAGATGGAAAATTTCAGCAGTGACATAATCTCTCAGTACACTGGTAGTTTTTTTTCTCTATTAAAATATTACTGTATTTTGATCTATATAAAAAGCTTCAGTGCCACATATCTTATATGATTTATTCTTTTAATGATGAACCCTGATCCTGTGATTCTCATTATTTCCAAGTTGTACTATTATTAGTCAAATTCATGTAGTCTCAGATGACATGTTTTACGAGTGATCTCAGTCTGACAGATGTATGCGCACCGTATGCTATAACGAGCCCACTCACCACTAGATCATTGATTCTACTTACACCACTGTGAAACAAGGTTTGCTCTTGGGAACCAGAAGAGTATAAGGTAACTCAGTACATCTCATTAAAATTTAATGAACTTAGAAAATTTATCCTCAACTATGGTACATGACAAGACTCCATAAATCTGCTTTAGAACTCACTATCATTCATAAAAGAAGCCGTTAAAAACTTGCCACTATTTGTTTTCAGACATTGAACTCGATACTTAACCATTTTTCAGTTAAATTAGTTGTCTAAATACAGACCGTAATTATTGGTGCTTCATCTATAGTCAGATTACGTTTCCCATTCATATTGTCTGTGAAACAAACTTTGAAAATGCTCTTAACAGTTGAACTATTTTGACAACATATCGTAATAAAGAAATCAAAGTCTGCAAAATACTGTAGACATAATCGAATTCTAAGCAAAGCTGAATAATTAAATTCTTTTCTTTACTTCGATGCACCAAGTTTTAAGTAGGAGCCTTTCGACCCACCAAGTTTTTCTAATAGTTCAATTTTTTCAATAATAATTGGTCCTTTTTGTAACGGTTTTAGCATATCATAAACTGTTAATGCAGCAACAGAAACAGCTGTTAATGCTTCCATTTCTACACCGGTAGACTGACCAACTGCTTTTACTTGTGATTGTATATGAATTTTACCTAATCTGTAACCAATATCGACTGAAATATGTGATAAGGGCACCTAGAATAGAGAATAAAAGCAGTATACATGAAAAAGCATACAATAAGCATATTTAGTACAATTACTGTGCTGATAATTTCTTCGAATTATCTTTTAAAATGTCAGTCGAATGCATCCTGTGTCAATCCATATCCTTTATTAGTGGTTTATTTTAAAGATAAGTGATTAGCTTCAATCACAAGTAATACCCAAGTGTAAGTCTCTGTTTATTCCCTTAGTTGTATCTATAACTATCAAGATTCTTATGACTGTATAGTTAGACTTAATCTGTTTATTCTTCCAACCAAAAAAGGTATGTTAAATCTATTCACGCTACACATAGCATGCTTGACAGAGAAATTATACTTGTAAATCAAGTGTCCGAGTGATACTTTCATACACTCTGCAAATAATTCGCGACTCCGATTTTAATACCGTGAGCGGAACTAGTCTATCCTCTCCTTTTCCATGCTCCGGTAAATGCGTGACGGCATTAAGGTGTTTCTCTCAAACAACCAACATAACAGAAATGCTGCCCTCCCACAAGGAAGCGTGGAGTTAGAAAAGTTTGACCCGAAAAATGCACACCTCGCCTTATCCCACGAATATCCGTCTCCGGCGGTAAGGTCCCAACATTCATGGAGTTTACACGAAAACTAATCACAAAAAGGTCGTGTGTGACCGGCCTCAAGCAGTTGTCCTTAGGGCACTGTAGTCACGCTCTCAGGTCACTAAGATCACCTCTAACCCGACTTTCTTTTCAGGTACCTCTGGAAGAATCCTTCTACCGTGTGGGCAACCGGGATGTGATAACCGCTCTCATACATCCAACAGCACTCAAGATCACTGTATGGAAGTTGGAGTCGCGAATTATTGATACGGTGCAAGAACGTATCAATTAGCGACGGAAATCTCGGTGCAAAGAACAAGGAAGTTTGAATTATTTTGAATTCAAATCAACTAGACACAAGGTTGGTGAAAATAAGTCGCATCCCCGTCGCCACTGTTATGGAGTGCGTATTCGTGTGAGGCGAAATTTTGTTTGTTAAAGGGGATGGATGTAATATGAATCAATAGATGAACTCAATGATATAATTTGACTGAGTAATGGTTAGTCATGAGACCGTATGATTGACTTTGGCTTCCGAATAATTAGCAATCAAGAATAGACCACTAACCAGACGAATGATTTTTCCATGTATAAAGTAACATGCTTACATAAAAATTATGAACATTGAACATGATAAAATATTTTAGGCGATTGGAGGAAAGTAATTTGTAAATTATTCATTCGCCCATCAATTAAGACCTGACCGTTAGGCCTAATCATATCATTAAAGTGAAAAGAATTGTATTTACACAGCTCAGATTTATCATAATACTCTCATCTACTTCAAAGAAGGTTTACTCACTATTCGCATTAATGCTCATCTCCATGAATTCACTGAGAGAATTTTATATGGTTAGTATACCATCAGAACAATCTTGTAAAACGCATACCTTCAACATACATGCAGTACACTGCTAAAATCACTAATACATGTTTCAAAATCAACATAATTCACTTAACTCCCTACTACAAAGATCAAAAAATGCATTTGAAATGTACGATAAGTTCGCTATCATTCACAAGATAGGTTTTAGCGATTACATAAAGCTAATTCTTCACTTACTGTCGCATCCATTAATCTCAATCAACGTCACTTCTCTCATTATATCAATACGCATCCATGGTGTCGGAAATAAATTCGACTTGCAATATATCCAATCTATACATCGGAAAAACCTGGTAAATACTCCAGAAGTCAGGCTTTCAAATAAATCAGTATGAAATAGTCAATCCAACTCACACACTATCTACTAGTTTATATGTAGGAGCCAAAGCACATGCATTTGACGTATAGAAGGTTGCTGCTGTTCTACTGTATGGAGCGGAAACCTGGAGAACTGCGAAAGCCATCATCCAGAAGATACATCTGTTTATTAACAGTTGTCTACGCAAAATACTTCGGATCCATTGGCCGGACACTATTAGCAACAACGTACTGTGGGAGAGAACAAACCAGATCCCAGCGGAGGAAGAAATCAGGAAGAAGCGCTGGAAGTGGATAGGACAAACATTGAGGAAAGCACCCAACTGCGTCACAAGACAAGCCCTCACATGGAATCCTCAAGGCCAAAGGAAAAGAGGAAGACCAAAGAACACATTACTCCAGGAAACGGAGATAGATATGAGAAAAATGAACAAGGACTGGATGGAATTAGAAAAGAAGGCCCAGGACAGAGTGGGTTGGAGAATGCTGGTCAGCGGCCTATGCTCCATTAGGAGTAACAGGCGTAAGTAAGTAAGTAAGTAACTCATTCTAAATAATTGCAAATTTAAAACTTTATTTATTTATTAAAACAACTAATTCAATAACTTACTTGATGACATAATGGTATAATATTAGAAGTTTGTTTAGCAGCTTGTATTCCAGCTAGACGTGCCACTGTAAATACATCACCTTTTGGTGTTAAAAGTTCATATAATTCATTTGTATGATTATTATCATCAATATTATTTTCATTATTATCATGAATAATCTTATCTGAATTAGTATCTGTAATCATATATTGATTATGGATAAATTGCTTTATATAATCATCAATACATATAAATACTTCTGCTTTTGCTGATCTAATTGTTATCATACTATTTTGTTTATGATTATTTCCATTGAATTGTTTTACAATTTTAGATGTAATATCAATCATTTTTGGTGAACGAGTTATTACATCGCCAATTTCAATCTAAAATGTTAAGAAAATTAAATTTTTATTTATTAATTTTAATGGTTGAGGTCATGAGTCAATTGAAGCTAGACCATCATAGAAACCCTAGAAGCACCGGACAGCTGTTTCGTCCTATTGTGGGGCTCCTCAGCAGTGCGCATCCAAGACCCTGAGGGATTCGAACCCAGGATATCACCGATATCATTTGAAATATATAAAAAATAAATTGAAACGACTTTCTAGTGCTTCCAGGTTTTCAGTGATGGTCTAATTTATATTGACTCATGAATTCAGTTATAAAAATGAAAGGAATTCAAACTATCTATCAGCTGAATAAATCTCATACTGTGAATAAAATAAAAAATATGGGAAAATGTTGTTTGAATGTAAATAATTTCCTGTTACATGTAACGAATAACTTTCCAAATGTTCATAATGGTTCTCTATTGAATAATCACTATGTACTTGTAGGTTCGAAATGATTTAAGCTTTTATTTTTCAAATAGTGAACATGGTATTGTTTTGGGTTTTCAGTACCGATTGAATTCACTTGATTAAACAGTACCATGTGAACAGTAAACTAATCAAAATAAAACCTTGATCTTTTCGAGCTCTTAGCATAGATTCTTCTTCATGCGGCATTACAGATACATGGAATCGACTGAAATTCTTTTGATTATCAAACAAAAGCGTAACTCAATTTTAAAGCAGTGAATACGTTTCATTCAGTGTACTTGCAATGATTCGTACATTATGCGATACAAAAAAGACAATCTCCAAGTTAAGTTAGTTTATATATGATGATTATTGTTCCTTGATGCAGTGTTGTATCTAAAATCATGGTTCAAATCTATTTACTGAAATAGCGTGTATCATGTAATTACTTGACTTTACGGTCATTACTCCAGCTGTAGCCCGTTTAGGGTTAGTACTGGTCCCAACCCCGTATAATGAAGGAGAGTTGGACATGGGGTCAGCAATCCCCGTTCCATAGAAAACAACCTTGCTATAAACGCTAACCAGAAAAAAACAGACCAAAACATTCATATAACTGTCCTATGAAATCACTTTAACAAGCTGAAAATTCCTCAAATCTACTTTTACTTATCTCTGTAGAGGCTTTCAAAATAAATATTCATAGGACGATTATACAATGGTATTGATGGAATATCAAAACCTAGACAATGTAAATATATTTGTTATCAGAGGTAGCAAATATGTACATTGCCTGGTCGCTGAGAAGTAATTAATATATTGCTTTTCTAATTTTTTGCTACTAATCAAATTTTACTAAAATGTCTACTAGTCTAATTGATCCGATATTCTGTGAACTCTCTGGCTGATGACAATCTGCTGTTTTTGATCAGCACTACAGAATAAACCAATATTAATCACTATTCATCGATTAACCAGTCGAAACATCTCAATTCTACAGAATCTTAATCAAAGCTTAGACGGCTGCAGTCGGTGATGTGAGCTTAAAGTTCATAGGGACCATTAGTATTCTAAAATTCGCTGCTGCAGTTCTCTGACAAGTGTCAACAATCAAATAAATTGAGGTCCAGGTTCTCCGGCTAAAATCTACTATTTTTCTTTCGGTCGAGTAGTATGGACTGTTAGGGCTAAGTTATTTTTATAACTAGTCGAATTATATATTAAACATGGGTATCCTTAACTTCAGTCATCACTTCCTGTTGTTTTACACATTAATGATAAGACATAACTGAAATATGCTTGATAAAATGTAGACTCTCTGACCTATAGCATAATCTATTATATTGTTAGTGAACAGCTTATTGTATGAGTTTTTAATGCCATCATCTCGTAGATATTTGGTAAACTATATTAAATGATGCTTGTAGTTCTTTGACATATAAGTGATTGATCACTGGATGGTGATCAATGTCATGCATGTCAGGTCCTTCTTAGTGCAGATCGAATCCCATCGACCTGATTGCAATGTGGACACCAGTCTTGGTGGCTCGGTACTGCGTACACTTTGTTGAGATAAGATGATGGTTGGAGGTAGTTAGGTATAGGTACGCCTTGTTGACGAGTGCCAAGTAGCATGAAACCTAGGTCCAGGGCTTCTTGTTGACTACCTCCAACCATCTTACCTCGACAAGTTTTGTAGTCAGTTAAATCATTCTATCGTATTGAATAGAAATACAGGTAGTCAGCGAAGAAAATTTTCTTTTCGATGAAATCATTTACTTAAGTTGTACATTCGTATTTATAGTTATAGTGAGATGGTGGAGATTTGTAGCTCTAGTGGATGATTTTGGAGTTTTGTTCTCTGCACTCAGAGAACAATTATCTTCATCCTTCATAATCCTTCCTTATCCGTGGTAGTGTAATCTTTTCTATCCTTCTATAGACATATATTTTCCATATAACTATAACTTAATGTTGGGATATTCAGGAAAATATCCCAAAAATTATCCTGTTAAGCCTAATGCTATCCTTGGACATGAAATGGTATCATCTTATTGGTCAATATTTATTTAACGTGTTATTTTCCTGTTGGCCATTATTGTACAATGTTATCTTCTATTTTATGGTACGTTGTGGACTGCTTGACTGGTATATAAACAAAGTATGTTTGAAATATAATGATTCATATGTCCGAGGCTGTGACTTGCGTTCTGGACTCAACTGGCTGGGTTAGACAGCGAAGCGGGGCCAATCAGAACCCTAGGTCGTTCTACGTGTTTGTGCGTCTTTGGTCCGATCAATAATTCGCTATCCCTTAATCAGCATTATTTTTCACGTTATAACACTTAAGTAAATGGTTTTGTCGAAAAGGAAATTTTTTTCGCTGAATTCTCTTTATTTTCATTCAATGACATAATGAGTTATTTTAATTATCATTCTATCTTATATTATCTCAGTCAGTGGAATAATTTCCATAAACCATATATAACTAAATAAATTAGAATTATTAGAAGAGGGTTTTGTGGAGATTTTAGTAATTTAATAGTTGAATTCATGAATCAATTGATGCTAGACCACAATGGAAAACCTGGAAGCACTGGATGACCGTTTCCTGGTTAAGCGCTCGCGCGCGAGACTGATAGGTCCTGGGTTCGAATCTCGCGGAGGGCGGGATCGTGGATGCACACTGTTGAGGAGTTCCATACTGGGACGAAACAGCTGTCCAGTGCCCCTAGGTTTTCCATGGTGGTCTAGCTTCAATTGACTCATGACTTCAACTATTGATAATTAATTATTAGTGGGGATTTCCTTTTACTGATTTCATTATAATTAAAGGGAAAAAGTAGCTCACTGGATTTTGCTGTTCTGTTGTCATACTTGATCGTGTTGATGATTTCTTTAGACTGTTTGAAAAATTTGGTTCAATGGCACGTTTAAAACAATTGATCAAAGTGTGATGACTCATATTTATGCGTTAGAAAAGAAAAGTATATATGTCTATACTGATTACACGAAGTTTTCTGTGGTTCCTTGTGATAAAATTGATGATTATGTAAGAGAAACGATTTAAATTTTCTAAAAACAACAAAGAATAGTCCCTTAAATATTCAAAAGCATTGAAAATCTTATCATATTCGAAATGTAAACAAATATTGAATGAAAATCTACTAACTGCTTTGATAAAAGTTAGTTAAATGGACATAGTTTCTGTTTTGAAGATGGTTATCACCACAGGTTAAAAATCAGGCGACAGTTAACAGTCATTTCATTGTAGTATAGCACTTCTTAGCATAGAGCACCTATGACTTCTTTAGTTATCGAAGTTAGAACCCGCTGACCTGATTGCAGGAAGGTTACCTATAGAACAGTGACTTGGAATACACTGGTCTACATTTCTTTGATTATGCAATACTAAAGCGTATCCGTCAACTATCATTGTCTATATTTAAACCAAAGGTTATGATTAATCTTGATGTAAGGGATCTTTATCGAAAAGTATTCACTAAGTATAGCTTTATCAGAACTTAAACCATCTTAGTTGTCATGGCTACATCAAATTATTTAAAATCACATAGACTGACAAAAAATTGTTAAACTTTTCAGAAAGAAAATGATTATTGTGATAAGGTTTCTAATCAACATTTTATCAGTTATTAATTATAAAGTGCTTGGAGTAACAAATAAGAACTTTCGTCTAAATTTAATAGAATGGTTTCACAGTATTTTGGTACCGAGTTGATGTGAGATATTCAAGAGGAAGAATGTATTTGTAAAATCTCATTTCACACCACATATATCTTACACAATAATGCAAATACCTACTTTAAATATTGTTAACGTTGTTTGAATGATCTATTCAGTATACAGTGAATCGGAGAACCATATGCGTATTTAACATTTCAATAATTTTGATGTTTGATTGTATTTCTTTGAAAAAGCTTGAACCAGATTGCTAGGTGAAACGTTAGATTTACTTCAAATTCATTCACTGAGATTTTACAAATACATTCTTCCTCTTCAATATTTACAGTAATCTTGAGAAGAGGAAACTAGGAAAAGACGATGGAAATGGATAGGACATACATTACGAAAATCACCAAACTGCATCACGAGGCAAGCCCTAACTTGGGATGCTGAAGGGAAGCGAAAAAGAGGAAGGCCAAAGAACACATTGCGTCGGATAATAGAAGCAGATATGAAAAGGATGAATTACAACTGGACGTAGCTAGAAAGGATTGCCCAGGACATGGTTGGATGGAGAATGCTGGTGAGCGGCCTATGTTCCTTCACGAGGAGTAACAGGCGTAAGTAAGTAAGTAACCTCGAGAAATATTACTATTCTGAGATCTACTTTCGTTTAATTTCATTATGAATATGTTTCCACATGAATCATTCACTATAATCTGTATGTAATTCATCTCTTCGATAACAAATATACAAAATAAGAGTATTTCATTTATTAAAGTACTATTCATTATTGAAAATAAAACATACACACACAAAAAAGAAAGAATTAACATTTGACTTTGATTTGGCTTTGTAAATGAATAAATTTTCAATATAATTTATGTATATTTTTTTATAATTAGTAACCATCTACCCCCCCCCCCAGCATCACTATTTGTGAATAAATAATCACTATTGAATTATTGATACATTTACTTGATTTGTTTTTTTTATTTTTTATTTCTTGTTTATTTTCATAATAAATTGTGATAAATTCATAATCTATGGTAATTTGATATTATTCATTGTCTAATTCTGATAATCCAAAGAAAAACGATGATTAGATTAGTTATCAATTGAAACAAAACAATGATTTAGTCAGTTATAAATTAATGTACAGAATGGGGATTAATATGATTTGATTCAAGTTATCAAACTATATTAATATAACAAGATGTTTATGCCTGTTACTCCTTATGAAGGAACATAGGCCGCTCACTAGCATCCTTGATACAAACCTGTTCTGGGCAATCCTTTCCAGTTGTTATTCATCCTTTTCATATCTGCTTCTATTTCTAGACGTAATGTGTTCTTTGGCCTTCCTATTTTCCGCTTCCCTTCAGCATCCCAAGTTAGGGCTTGCCTCGTGATGCAGTTTGGTGATTTTCGTAATGTATGTCCTATTCATTTCCATAGTCTTTTCCTAATTTCCTCTTCAGCTGGGAGGCTGTTGCTCATGGTATCCGGCCAATGGATGTTCAGTATCGTACATAGACAACTACTTATAAATAATTGTACCTTCTTGATGATGATTGTAGTAGTTCTGCATGTTTCAACTCCGTACATTAGGACTGTCTTGATGTTCGTATTGGAGATTGTGACTTTGATATTGGTTGACAGTTGTTTTCAGTTCCATATGTTCTTCAGTGTAAGAATGAGGCCCTAGCTTTACGTCTGCATGAGATCTTCCTGGTTCATCGACGATGCTTCCCAGGTACGTGCAAGATTTCACCTCTTCCAGGGATTCTCCATCAAGTGTGATTGGGTTGATGTTCTGTATGTTGTATTTGAGAATCTTGCCTTTTCCTTTGTGTATGTTGAGGCCTACTGATGCAGAGGTGGCTGCTACACTAGTTGTCTTCATCTGAATTTGTTAGTGTGTATGGGATATAAAGAGTAGGTTATCTGCGAAGTTCGAATCGTCTAATTGATTCTGAGCTGTCCATTGTATTCCATGCTTTCCCTCAGATATCGAGGTCTTCATATTACAGTCAACTACTAGGAGAAATAGGGAGGGGGAGAGTAGACAGCTTTGTCTGACTCCGGTCCTTACTTGGAATGCATCTGTCAGCTGTCCTCCATACACAAGATGAATAGCGAAGAAATCTAAACTATATAGTAGTAATGATGAGAAAAATTGGACACTGGGAATAGATTTTGAAAATTAGTGACGTAAAGTATGCATAAAGGATTACTGTAACCTGAAATTTAGTAGAAAATAAAGAGTTGAACCATTTACCTTATTCAGACGGATTCTAAGCAATACTGTCAAATTATAAAGTGATTAAAATTGACACATCTACACAAGTAGTCTATATTTCCAAAACTATTCGATCAGGTCAATCACTTAATTATTATTAGTAGTAACTCCCAAAACTTTAATAACTGTTTAAAAAATCATAAGATTTTTTACACTTTCACTCAAGAATTTACTTCATTGTAACCATAAGGTAGTTCTAGAATTCTTTGTTAAATAATAAACTGATAACTGTAAACATTGTGAGATGAAGAGAGTTCATTTCATTTTGGATTCTCCTAATCTTTCACATTCATTTGGCTTATTTAAGTAAATAAAATTGCTCACAAATGTAAATTCACGTGTAACATACATTTTAATCCATAGAATTCGACAGACAAAAAGGGTCAGATAAGTATGATACTGGTGATTACTCAATGATTAGTTAATTGTGAATGTCCAGGTTCTACATGAGGTCAGTCGCTGCCTGAATAGATTAATAATAGCGTTTCTAAATGTGAAGCTAAATGATGTGGGTTCAACACTAACAGAAAGCATCAGTTCCTTCAAAATCACACCTAAACCTTGTTGACGAGTGCCAAATGGCACGAATACTAGGTCCAACGTTTCCCTATTGATAACTTCAAACCGATTAATATCTCCAAATAGTTCACACCTTGTCGATTCACTTAGACTAGTAGCCACACTGTAACTTGATCGTTGGAATTTGATCATCACTAAACGACTAAACAAATATCATATCGGTCATCATTTATCAATCAACTGATTACACGTTACCTACATTTTATCCCTACTTTAAAAGTTGACAATTAGTCTTTTAATGAATTCTGATGACCATTATTCATCATACAGATTTATCAATTACAACTAACATATTCAACAGAAAAATCGTTTTAAAAATGACAGAAGTTCAATTCTTGTCAAAATAGGTAATTGAGTTTAACATAGTCGAACGTCATCAATAATTAATTAGTAAATGAAACAATTAAAACATGAACATGATAGAATGATATGAGTAACCAAAAGTTATAATTTCGCTCATACAAACATGATAAATAATAATTATAGTAAGCATAAATGCATGATGGCTGGCATAGGAGTCAAGGACGTTCGTTCGTTCCTATCTTGGATTCATTAGCTGGATAAACCTGCATCCTAGAATTGATGTCCACTCTGGGACTTGAACTTAGTGCCATTCGCTTCAAACGCCATCGCGTTATCCAATTAGCTATTGAATACTAGTAGCCACTTGCTTGTGCAATGCGGTGAAGTTTAAATACATTTTGTATTGTTTGTTTAAATCATCCCATTGATATTTAGGACTGCGATTAACCAGTCTCTTATTGGCATATGTGTATCCTGTTAGGATTGTCACAATGTTGCCTGGATTCCACTGCTAGCCACCATCCATCTTTGCTTATAATGCTTGTGACTTAAGGGGATATCGAGACAATTCGCACCGGATGCACATATACCAATAAGAAACTGGTCAATCACAGTCCTAAATATCAATGGGATGATTTAAACAAACAATACAAAATGAATTTAATAAATATAGTATTTGGTCAAATTAATTGAACTAAGGAAAAAGATTAAATACTTTGAGAGGTTAAATCAGATAATATATATAATACGATTTGTATTTCTACGTAGTCAAACTAATCTAAATCGTATCAACATGAATCCTAATCTATGACTGAAGAGATAGTTATCTCATACCCTACTCATATACTGACTCAACATGAAATATCAATGCAACATGTGACTTATGAAAATTACATCTAATTCAGTTGATAAATAAATAATTACTAGTATAGGGGTTGTGGAGATTATAAAGTTTTTGATTGAGATCGGTTCATGATCTCAATCAAAAAATTAATAATCTCCACAACCCCTATACTAGTAATCAACATGTGCTCACTAGTGACTAGCTTCGTGAGGGGATTCTCAGAGTTCTAGTGAGAAGCCGTGACCAGTGGAGCTAGTCCATGTCGGGCAGAGACAGGTATCTACCTCAGTACAATGAAAGTTGGTCGCGCAATTTCGTGGATTGCTTAATGTTAGACACTATCACCATTGAATGCCGGCTCAGTGGTCCAGTAGGTCAAACGTTCGTGCGCGAGACCGAAGGTCCTGGTTTCGAATCCCGCGAGCGGGATCGTGCATGCGCACTGCTGAGGAGTCCCACAATAGGACGAAACGGCTGTCCAGTGCTTCCAGGTTTCCAAAGGCGTTCTAACATCAATCGGTTCATGATCTCAATCAAATAAATAATTTTCTACTAACAACTTCAAATATCTAAAATGTCTTATCCAATAAATTTACATTTGTCCACATTACTAAAATTAATGATCAATTGAATTATAAGTTCCTATCAAGATATGGCTTAACTACATTAAGACTACCATTAACTTATATTATTCTTAAGTAACAACACATACATATAGTTTTACAAGAAAACATACAACATCAAAAATAAAAGTGTATAATTATTCAATCAATATTTATTTAAATATATTTACATAATAAATTATTCTATCCTAATTCAAAATTCATCTATATAAATTGATAGGATTATTGAAATTTGTTCAACCGCCAATTTGAACCATTGAACGATTTACACTTGATGCAAGTTGAATAGCACCTATAGTTCATTTAAAAATAGAATAGAAGAAATAGCCAACTTTTTTTTAAGAAAATTTACAAATAAATTAAATAAGTGGAGATAAAATTATAATAGTCATTAAATCAATAAATTACAGTTAACTTAGTAAAATGGTTTATTCAACTTTATAATCAATGTAAATAGTATTTTAGTTCCATGAAGGGAAAAAATTGGATTAGTCTTTTAATGTAGGGGATAATTTGGTAAAATAAAGCGATTACTTTGTGTTATTTAAGCGAATATCAAGTTTGAATGAAGATTTTTAGCTCAGGTGGATGATTTGGATAGAATTTTGTTCTCTGAGCTGGATGGTTTGTTCGTGAAGCTTTCATCGTTCTTCTGAATGACATCATCAGCACAAACTTCAGATAGAAGTGAAGCGTTCGAATTTCTCCATATATGGTTCATAGCTTGTCCTGTAGACCACGATGTTGATTGGTTAGAGGATTGGATCAAGGTCCATACATTAGGACTGTCTTGATGTTCGTATTGAGGATTGTGACTTTGATATTGGTTGACAGTTGTTTTCAGTCCCATAATTTTTTCAATTGTAGGAATAATGTTCATACTTTACCAATTCTTACACTTCTGTCTGCAACCGATCTTCCTTGTTCATCGATGATGCTTCCCAGGTACATGAAAGTTTCCACCTCTTACAGAGTTTCTCCATCAAGTGTGATTGGTTTAGTGTTATCCGTGTTGTATTTATGGATCTCCCTTTTTTCCTTCATGTATATTGAGGCTTACTTCTGCACTATTTGTCTTCATCAGCATATGTTGATGTGTATGATACAAAAGGGCCAAGTCATCTGCGTAGTCCAAATCGTTTAGTTGATTCCGAGCTGTCTAGCATAAGCGAAAGCAATCACTTAATTACATTCTATAACTTAATATGTTTAGTAAAGTTTCCGTCTCAAACCATTTTATCGTTCATAGCGTTTTCATTTGATCATCTTAACTTGACATTTTCAAAACAGGGTTTTCACCAGAAAACAAACGACATTTGAACATGTACTTCCCTTACATATTATCATACAATGAATTACGGTAATCAGAGTGTTTGTAGCTTAGATTATAGAGATTTCCTTCTTTACAATTCTCATGGTATTATACCTACTTGATGGATGATCAGATATCAATTCAGAAGAATTACAGAAAAATCCAATGAACTAAATCGTGTGCTATAATTAGATTTATCGCTTTCTTCTAGTTTATCTTATTGCCAGAATAAAAAAAAACGGACGGACTAAAAATAATGTCCAAATTAATAGTGAAACGTTGTTGTTTAAAACTATATTTACCTTTGTGACTAGCAGACTTTTTAGTTAAAGCTTGATCGACAATCTCATCAAGTTGATCATAGATTTCATTTAATTGCTTAGATTGTTTTAAATTATAATTAGGCTTATCAGCAAACCAATCATCAATTACATGTGAATTCATTTTGTTGCGTAATATTTCCACTAAACTCACTTCATAATTATCATGTAAACAAATTTTAAGATTTCCATCAGCTGTAATACGTAAACGTGAACATCCGGCACAAAAATTCTCAGTCATTGAAGTGATGAAACCAATCTTACCTAACCATCCTGATACTTGAAAAAGCTTTGCAAAAATGAAAATATTAAGAAGTAAATCAGAGAATATTAACAGGGAAATTGTTTTCTATCACTGAACTCAACTATCAGTAAGTAGGTCATTATATTAAAAATATGTTTTTTTCATTTTTCACCTATAAACATTAGTATATAATTGTATACTTTATATCACTATCCGATATTCTAGTTCAATAAATCTTTAAAGCATACATGACAGACTTTCTTATCCAATGAAGTAGTTAAGTATAGGATGTAGACCAATAGATCATCTATGTTACCGTTTTTTTGGTTTGAAAAGCCTTATGGTGATTCTTAGCTCTTCTTTGGTAAGGTTAAATCTTGATAATAAAAACTATTATTTGATAATTAAACTGTTACGATTAAATAGACTATTCATATAATAAACTATAATGAATGCAATGTTTTATACCTATTAACGTATTCATATGGTTCTTGTTGAACTATTAATAAAAGTAAACACGAGAATGAATTGTTCTTAATGTCTTCAATGTCTTATTCACTTCATCTCCCGACATAAATATGAATTCTGATTTTAAAGATCATTTACTTGTAGGATGCAAAAAATTATTTGAGTTGGGAGCATAAAATCTACGACTCATTATCATGACGGATTATTTTTATACATAATAATACGGTACTCTATTCGATCTATGTTCAATGCTATTGGTAGTGATGGAGAAGATTTCTAGTTATAGTGAAAACCTTCAATGAAGTTAAGTCTTTTGAACTAGATAGTTTACTTGAGCTGACTTTTATGAAATTACAATCCAGTGAATATCACCCTATATTTTAGATCATTTTAAAAACACATACCTTTGGGTGATATTGAGTTTTTAAAGCTGGATGATTTAATAATGAAGCGTTCATCTTCAATCTGAACAGCATTATCAAAGTTCACTTCAAATATAAGTGAGCTTATGAATTATTAAACAAGCGCTAGATCAATTTGTTCCACTTTTTATTTTCTTATTCAAGTTTTAGGCCTACTATATACATAAATAAAAGAAATAACACTTCTTTATGATCTCATTTTATCCCAATGATTTATTCCTTAAGCTCATAATCTTTCTTTAAGACCGCACAAAGCTACTGATTATGTAAGGTAATCCAAAAATATAGTATATACATTTTCTTGTAATCAAATAATCGATTATTCATCAGAATTAATAGTGTATAGTGTTTAGTAGCCCTTCATCTGAATTCAATTGGATCGTATGGTTAGACTGTAATTTATGGACGACCTTTGAGCAACGCTAAAGTGACCTTGAGAATGTCCACCTACTAACTAGAACTAAATGAGGGTTATAAATGTGTGTGAGGAATTATAATTATAATTTACAGTTGATAATTAAGGTTAGGATCTAGATTTAGGGTTTTCATCACGAACTGATATCAGCTAAAATGCCGAAACACTATTTAAACAAGTATATGGATGAAAATCCAACACCTGTCATCCTAAATCTGATCAGTTCGTTCATAAATTATAGTCTCGCCGACCGTATGAATGACTGTTATTGAAATATACATCCCGGCTACCCTCGTATATAATCATCTACTTAACTCGATTTAGTGAGTAAAGGAATTAAATAAGTCAAATGCGAGAATAGAATGTTCATAAAATTATAATTTTATGGGTGAGTAATATAACTGCGTAAATGTCATAATTTAATATCAACACAAACAGCAGTAATAATTCCACGTTAGGTGATGATATTACATTATTGTGATAATAAGAATATGGTAATTATTATAATCATAATGGAATGATCTGCCAAATAGATGAGTGACTAGTGTTGACACGAAGACAGATTACCGATAAGATAATACGAACTGAGCATGTCCATATCGCTGCTTTACTGGCTTCGCTGAATGTGTCATATTAGAGATTGTGTCATTTGAATTGCTGGTTGACTAAGTCAACCACTTACTTTGTTTATCGGATGCGTAGCGTTCGAGATATCCATCGTCTGCACAGTTTTTTCCGTTTCGTTTTTGAATCCCCCATAGCATGGCACACTGATTATCGCTCACAAATAAACTGCTATACACATATGCTTCTTGTTCTCAATCACCCGCCGTTATGATATCAGAACTTCAATACATTTGCTATCTACGTTTACAGATCACAGTGATATTCTCATTATATACTTTATCTGGATATACATCTCGAACTATAACAATTATAACTGGAATTATTAACTACTTATAATTGTGGATTGAATTATTTTTTCTGGTTAGCGTTTTTAGCAAGTTAGTTTTCTACAGGATGGGGCCGCTAACCAAATGCTCAACCCTCTTCCTTTGACCGGGCTTGGGACCAGCAGTAGCCTTAGAGGGGCATCAGGCGGAGAATACTGGTCGGCGGCCTAGACTCCATTGAGGGAGTAACGCTAAGTACAATTGTGGATTACCAGATCAAAAGAAACTTGAATACGTCAATCCCTGACAATTTAAGTAACATCCTGTATATTTTTCTTGTGTGTAATAATTTGTGTTTAATATATTAACACATGAATTTTTGGTTCACCACAAGTTCATTATAACACTATATGCCATGAAATATCGAATGTGTAGATGAAATAATAAAGTGACCCTGAGAATGTCCACCTACTAACTCGAACTAAATGAGGGTCATATTATTAAAATAGTTTTATATGTTAAACAAAAGTATTTTATATTATGCTTACTTTTGTTACATCAAATGATTTTTCATTTAAACAAATTAAATTTGGATAAGAATTTTGTATAATGTTTAACATTTGTTTATATGAGAATAATTTTGATAGTTCCCAACTGTTACCAGAAAATGGCATATATTCAATGAATCGTACTTCAATAGGCTGAAATAATAAGAATGATGAAAGAAGTATATATATATTTATAAACATTAATTATAAACATCATAAGACACGATAGAAATACAGATCGGCCTAAATGTTTACTCTTCCCATCAACAAGGAAAGCCCAATGAGTTTGCATGACTTTATTTACAATGATATTATGCTAAACAGAAACTTTTTTTGATTGAGATCACAAATAGATTGATGTTAGACCACCACTGAAAACCTGGAAGCACTGGACGGCCGTTTCGTCTTATTGTAGGTCTCCTTAGCAGTGCGCATGCACGATCTCGTTCACGGGCCTTCAGTCTGGCGAGCGAATCCTTAGCCTTTAAACCACTGAGTCGGCATCCAACGGTGTTAATGTCTAACCTAAACCAATCCGCAAAATCGCGAGAACATCTTTCATTGTACTGAGGTAGATACCGATCTCTACCCAACACTGATTAGCTCCACTGGTCATGGTTTCTCACTAGAACTCCGAGAATTCCCTTATAAAGCTAGTCACTAGTGGGAAGAGAAAATTCATTTTAACGAAATGAATGAATTTGTAGTATGAAAAGCACGAAATAATATGAAAATCCAAGGTTTAAAGGAGCTTAGAATATTCTACAACATTAAGTTTTAGTGCTAAAATTTGACATTCCTGGAACTTTCGATATGATTAACTACTGGATTCTTACAGACAAACTCTCATCTTAAGGGATCGAAAATTGCGTGCTTGAGTGGCTTAATTCTTTTCTCATTCACCGTCACCAAATAATTAAAAGAAACTCCTTATCGGATACCACCCCAGTCAGAAGTGGGATAACACAAGGTAGTATCTTGGGTCCTTTGCTCTTTTTAGCTTTTATAAATGACGTTTGCAACCGCTTTTGTATGAACAAGCCTCTTCTAGATGCGGATGATCTTAAAGCAGTGTGGTGGATGGATTTGTTTTAGCTACCTTTTTCTCAATCTTAACTCGTCTGCAAATGGTACAGTATTATGTAGGTTTCACGCAGTGATTGACTTAGAACTCACGCATTCTCAAGCCTTGTCTTTTCCAAAAGTCTGTCAAATGGACTTTCAAGACCTGGTGACTTCTGGGTTAAAGCAATGATTCACGTATTTTAATTTACAAAGTATACATTCGAACACCTTTTGTATAATGTGACTTTATTCCTAGCAGTGTTTGTATAAGGCACAAAATGACTGGGATCTGCTCGGCGGTGACTCACACTTCGCATTTTTGGGAAGTGACTGTGCCTTAAACCATATATCTAGATCAAATAAACTAACACTCGACCCTTTATAGAAAAGGAGATTTACACTTCACTTAATATTTCTTCATAATGTTTAATAAACTAACTTTCACGTTCAGCGCTAGAATTCAACAGGATGAAACATCCAGTTATAGCACTCACAATTCATTACCATTAGTGAAACTGCTTTATCCTAAATTTTTTTCTATATGAATTATCTTAGTAGTAGATTTTTGATACTCTGGAATAATTTGCTGAAACATGTCCTTGAAATTGAATCACTCCCAACATTCGTTTATTGTAGTAATGTTTAGCTCACCTCTCACACTGCCCTAAATATGTTTACACTTTTAAATATATCCCATCCCACAAATGAAACTAGAAAAAAATTAAATGTTCGATGGCTGTTATGACTGAGCGCACTCACTAAACATTTTTATGAAGACATTTTACATTTACACCATCCTTGGTAAATTTTACTGATTTATATACTATCTAACCTAATCAATAGATCATGTAACAACTCAGCATATGCATAATGGCAAATCTATCAGATAAGTGTTTACTGTTGTTTTTCTGTGTTCTCTATGTTGTCTTTTTTTAGTTGTAGACGACTATAATAACTCTGTAATGATACTGGAACCAACCTTGACTACACTGTTCATACATCAATAGGATATTCCAGTACCCCTACAAAAAATTCAGTAGTTCTCAAATGATCCCCCATATTGTTGTAATTCCATGTAACAAATATATTATCAAAACAATTTTAAATTACATAATTATAAACAATTTTAAGCTATATATCTCTCCTTTATGTACTATCTGTATCAACCTGATCATGACTGTAAATCGGTATGAATTCTGTAATGATTTTCAGAATAAATTATTATTTATTTGTTTGAAACCTACTTTATTTCTTGATAAAGAACCTAAGACTGATTTCTATTCAGTTGCATAATTTGCATTGCTAATTATTTATTACATACTTAAATATATGCAAAATTTGCAATGAAAAATTGAATGTAACTACTGGTGGATCATTTCATTGATAAATATAGTGACTATTTGAAATGTTTATGTCGTCGACAACTATTGTTTAAAAAAATCAAAATATTGAATGATTAAAACAACAAGCTTGATCAACAGAATACCAAAGAAATAAAATACTTCGCATCAACTGTCTGAGACTTCCCATTGACGTTTACAACTGCAATTGTTCAATCTCTTATTGGCATCCTGTGCAGATTCCTTCTATATTCACTTAAGTCACAAGGATTTCACTGCTAGTCACCATCCATTTCCACCTGTAATGTTTATAATTTGAGGCAATATCGAAACAATCCTCACAGGATGCACACATGCCAATAAGAAACTGATCAATCGCAGTGCGAAACATCAATGGGAAGATTCGAACAACCAATATAAATAAATTAAACTTCATCCCATTGAACAAGTCAGCGTCCATCTAAACTCAGTAACTAAGTAGATAAAGCAATGACATTTGAAACGAGTGGTACAGGGATCAAGTCATGGAATGAACACCAACTATGTAGTCCAGGCACATCAAGCTGATATGTCCACACAGGATGATAAGCTCGTCCTGGGCATTTTTGCTAGGCACCATTTTATCTCTGCATACAAGTTTGTGATAAAATTACAAATTAATGAAAATAATAGTTTTTACAAACCCTCCAATTAAACTATTCTGAGAAATGAAATGAAATTTAATCTATACAAACATACACTTACTAAATACCGTGTCAGTTCAACAAAATCGCATAATTCATCTTCATTGAAATTTTTCATAACTACACAATTAACCTACAAATAGTACAGATAAAGAAATTATCAGTATAGGGTTGTGGAGATTAATAAGTTCTTCGGTTGAGATCATGAACCGATTGACGTTAGACCACCATTGAAAACCTGGACGTGCACTGCTGAGGAGACCCACAATAAGACGAAACGGCCGTCCAGTGCTTCCAGGTTTTCAATGGTGGTCTAACATCAATCACTTCATGATCTCAACCAAAAAAGCTAAAAAAAATGTTTGGTGGTTTTGGGCAGACTTTGTATCATTTGAGGGTAATCTCACACTGATTAGACAACCCATGAAAGTTAGGGAGTACTTTATTAATGATTAAATAAAATTAAATATAACATTGAACCTATAATTTTAGAGCATGTTAAAATAGGGAAATGTACTTGTGCTTTATAACGCTTGTTCACTGTTCTGATGTTTAATTAATGTGAAAGTCAGGTTTTATTCTGTTTTTGAATGAATTCGGAAACAATCTGATGAACTATGTAAGTATTATTACCAAGGTTGGACATGATAATTTCAAATAAATTGAACATTGAATAGAACTTTAATAATAAAACAATGATATATTTATGATATCCCAATAAGTATTTCTGACGTTTCGTAACTCATGGCATACCACTTCTTCACAGTAAACAAACAATTGAATTCGATTATGAACTGTTTGTTTTACTCAGAATATGACCCTATTTCTCGATCTCAGTACACCTTTTTTAGTACAACAAATGATTTAAATATCATCAGAAATAATTCATCTATGTATTGGTAGTTTGAATCTTCCCATTGATATTTGACACTGCAAGTGACCAGTCTCTTATTGACATATGTGTATCGTGTGCGGATTACTTCGATGTAGCCTCAAGTCACATGCATTATAAGCAGAGATGGATGGTGGATAGCAGTGAAATCCAGGACGTGAGTTTCGTCCTATTTAGGACTGGTCAGCTGGAATACCTACATCCTGAAGTTGTTGTTCGCAACGGAACTTAAACCTAGTTCCTCTCGTGTCAAATAACTAAAACATTGCTTACTGAGTTACTGAATTTAATCCTTTTCTCATTATAGTATAAATATCATACATATTAAACAAGTTAGTGGTTATCTGGAATTGGCAATTCAATGGACAATGCGTAGGCCATTTGACGTGAAAATAAATGGATCCATCGGTGTGTGAACATCAATACCGGGGTGTAGCTACATCCAGATGATAAGTCTAATGCAAGACGAAATGAGTATAATGCAATGTGTATAATACAATTAAACACTATCCATCTCATTGGATTAAGGTATTCTGAACATATTATGATTTCAATTATACAACTGCTGAATGATAATCTACATAGAGAATTATAACAATCGCTTATATCAATCGTTTAACTCAACAAAGAACTATAATTATTCTTTATTTATACTGTAATTCTTTAGAATCCTTAACCCATTTTCTTAATTTCAATGTTGTTTGTTTTTCCTATGTACAGTTAATTATTCAATAAACATCAATGTTTGATTTTTTTAAATCTCTCGTTTAGTAGAAATTCTTCCTTACAGCATACTAAAAAAATAATCCAGTCTGGTTATTTCGCCCTTTAAAGCTACCCAGTGATTCATGCATAGTATTCAGTAAAATTGTTTTTTGTAATAATAGGTGATAATATCATTGTTACCAATAACATTATTAATACGTTTATAGTGTACCAAATCGAGAATTCAAAGATATTATTTTTAAATAAACATGAACTCAAGAGTTAATTTTGAATCTAACACACTTCGACACTAACTAATTATTTTATTCATCTCAAACTTCGTCAATATTTTCAGATTGTCCTATGTTCATCAATCAAATTATAATTCTCATGCAATTTATTCTATGTATATTCCAATCATTGATTATAAGTAAAACCATTCTGATTAGCATCAAAATTTTCAATATAAACGTTAAGATAGTTCTATTGTATAGAGCTTAAAAGTGGAGAACTACTATAACCATAATCAAAAAGTACTGGCATCTATAAACAGTTCTCTGCGCTAGATACTCAATGTCCGTTAACCGAATATCGTCATCAACAACCTACTGGTGAAGGGAACAAACCAACTTCCAGCTGAATGGGAAATTATGGAAAGATTCTACAGGTGGATAAGATATACATTGCGCAAAGCATCACAATAAATCACGAGACAAGTCCTAACTTGGAATCCTGAATGTAAAAAGAAAAGTATACATAAGAACACACTGAGTCAGGAATTAAAGACAGACATCAAAAGAATGAATAACAGATAAAAACAACTGGAAAGGAGAGCCCAGGACAGAGTTGGTTGGATATTCCTAGTTGGTGGCTTTTACTTCCCGAAAAGTAACGGTCCTAAGTAAGCGCGTAAAACCAATGAACTGAAACAAGGTCACATTTTATTCTTTTTATCCCACCATTTAAGAAATCTTGTGATAGTAGTTAACCCTAGGTGATGTGGAGTAAAAAAAACACTTCCTAATAAAATGGATAACTTTATGGAAGATGTAGTATGAAAAAAGTACTAATCACATTGACATACAAATTACTTAGTTCTAAATTATTCTAATGCTGTAACCATTGAATTAGTTCCTTATGTACTTTTATGGAAAGCTTATAACATTAGGTAGTTGAAGGTAATCGGTAGGAAACCTTGATTAAGGCTTTGTTACACTACTTTGAAATACTGGCTAAAAATTCTCTATTGTATTCAAGCATATTGCACCGAATATGTCTATTATTATTATCATCATCATCACACATAGATACAATGATTCAGATATGTTCAATATCATATTTCGAAGACGGATTAATTCAGTATGAAATTTATCATACTATGGTCTATAGTTTGAATAATTTTTTTCTGGGAGAGAACAAACCAAATCCCAGCGGAGGAAGAAATCAGGAAGAAGCGCTGGAAGTGGATAGGACACACATTGAGGAAGGCACCCAACTGAGTCACAAGACAAGCCCTCACATGGAATCCTCAAGGCCAAAGGAAAAGAGGAAGACCAAAGAACACATTACTCCGGGAAATGGAGATAGACATGAGAAAAATGAACAAGAATTGGATGGAATTAGAAAGGAATGCCTAGGACAGAGTGGGTTGGAAAATGCTGGTCGGCGGCCTGTTTCTCCATTGGGAGTAACAGGCGTAAGTAAGTAATGATCTATAGTTCTCCAAACCATATCATTCCATGATGAGAACTCACTCGACACAGAACTATATACTAATGGTACATATTTTTTTTACAAAAGCAAATGAAATAAAATAATTACATACCTTAACACTTTTAAATCCCACTTCAATCGCTTTAATTATAGCTGCCATTGAATGTTTAAATGTAGATTGTCCTGTTAATTTTAAAATTCTTTCTGATTTTAAACTATCTAAACTGATATTCACTGAATTTAAACCAGCTAATAATAAATTTTCAGCATATTTCTTAAATTTCACTCCATTTGTAGTCATTGCTATTTCATTGAAATGTTTATGTTGACATTTTAATTCATTCAAATCTTCTTTTATTATTTTTTAAACAAAAAAGGGTAATAAATAGATAATTGTAATTTATTTCAAACTTATAATTTGTTGTAGATCGGGTCGTAATAATGGTTCACCACCGGTTAAACGAATTTTTCTTATACCACGATAACAAAAATAATTAGCAAGAAATAATATTTCATTAGATGTTATTATATTCGATAATATGATTTGATTATTATTTTGAAATGATTTATTTGGCATACAATATGAACCTAATTGGGTTTTGTTTGTTTGTTTTTTTTAAAAAAAAAATAAGTAGTAAATGCCAATTTATTTGAACTTACAATTTAAATTACATTTTCCCGTTAATGATATACGTAAATAATCATGAATTCTACCATAATTGTCAATCAGTTTTGTAAACTTCCTCATTTCGATAGACATTCTCAAATATACAGAATTTACAATATTGTAAATGACGATGTATATATATAGTACTAAGTAATGCTGTTAGTTGATTGGTTGAAACGACTAACCAATGAAATTAAAATATTGATTTACACAATATTATGCACTTAATATTAACTTGTATAAAGTGTACATTTAAACAAACTAAATCAAAAATGTGTTAGAATGTATTTTGACAATATACATTATGTAATAAACTGAAAAGGAATTCTATTATTTTAGAGTAAATTTATTGATTCAAGGTTTCAAGTTAGTCTTTAAATGATTTATGACTATTGAAGGTGAAAGTTTTACTTGAATATAGTTCAATAAAAATGACTAATTCTATGTGTGAATTTGCTTTCTTAATACATAAATGATAGAATTACTACAGATAAACTTTTAGAACTCATTATTTTAGAATTATTGTCATTTTAAATGAATAATTAGTGAATACATGAAAGGATGAAAACATTTAACTCAATAGAAAAATGTATCAGTTTTTTTAGTGGCTTTGCTTTTTTTGTCGTTGTTTAGATCGAACGATGTTGTCGAAAGAGCTCTCCACTTTAGTGGCCTGTGATCTGACTCCAATTATATCGTATGTTTGTTTGTTATCGAAATATATATATCGCCTATCTTCGTATATAATCATCGACTTAAATCGGGTTAAATTAAATAAGTCAAGTAACGAGAACGGACTTTTGAATACATACATTTTGTATATCAAGTGAATGAAATAGAGTGAAGCAAAACGACGCGCAGTGGAGATGGCGGATAAGCCAACTCACATTTAACCAAGCGTTAATCAATATTTATAGTTACACAAAAGTAAGTTACAGACATGTGATGAGTAATGGGACAAGAAATGTACACACACCTACGTTCTCATATAAAAACAGTCAAGATTGATAAGCGAATAAGTAACAAGGTCAGAATGTGACCTAAGTAGAATGAATAGACTGGGCTGTCCGAAAGCTGAAATAAGGTATATGGGCTCAACATAATAACCGACACTACACTTTGTCAATCAATCACTCTTGTTATTATATAAATTTCAACGGTGTTTCAAATTAGAAAGCATTAAGAAACAACAACTGTAGTTTATTAACGGATTGCACAGATCACAAAGCTATGAGTACATCAAGCAAATTTGAAGCAGAGGCAAGCATGTGTACGAGTGAGCGAATACATAGGCCAATTTATGGTCGAATTGCATAAGGGCACAGAAAGGAAAAGCGAAGGCTAACTATAGGATTTGAGTGCACATATACGTGGGGAGGAGAATGAATACATTTGATTGCCTCCACTGGTGTTCTTGTTCACTACAAGTATAATAAAGAAAAAACTAAGGTCCCAAGAATAGAATAAGATAACTAGCTTGTCTTACATTCACACTTTAACATTTTTAATTATTATTTACTTCTTTAATCATGCAATAATGGATCATACATTTTAAATGAACGTTTAATGAACATTTTCTTAAAATATTCTTCTGAATTAAATTTATCATTCTGGTTTACCTTGTGTTATCATGAAACTAACGCAATCTTTCTCAATAATTCAAGAGTAACTACGTAGTTATATGATAGACATTATTCTCTTTACAACTTCATAAATGCATCTGTAGTGTGGCGTTGAGTCGCGGTTGACTATGATCACCACAATAGGAAGACTACGTGCCAGTTAACCGATAAGATCCTTCGTAAGCCAAATATTTGAAGGCAGTTGGTGGCTGTAGTCGAGATGTATATTTTGGCGATCTCGTGGCATCGAAATAAGACCGAGATCGTGCCACGTTATAAGTGTGGTTACTGAGCGTAACCGAATTCAAGCAAGGTCACAATCAAAAAGAAGGAAGAATGTCTTTAATACAGATAAACAAGCAAGTGCAGTAAAACAATCACTGGTACAATTGGTTATAATAATAATTGTTTCCATTACACCAATCACGTTCTCTTGATAAAAGTAGATCACTACACATCATTAATCTATTTCATAAAAAATTGAAAGAATCAAAACACAAAAACTAATCCTGATAAGTTTTCTAAATGAATACTTGTTCCGATTTTTAATTAACATGAACTATACTCAGTATAACATGCAGCGTACAGTTTTCTTTATAATTTCATACATGTAATATTTTGCTAATTACTAATTAAATCGCTGTATACATCAATATATAGCTTAGTGCATTTTCGATTACAGTTGTCGTTATGTTTTGGAGGGAATAAATTTTCACTACAAGTTTATACTATATGAGTGACGCCAAAGTGATTTAGTGTGAAGAATTAAGATTCAGAGGTAGAAGTCGGGGTTAAGAATTAAAGTTTTCATCATGAACTGACATTAGCTATAATGCCAAAATGCTATTTGACTACATAGATGCGTGAACATCACACCGAAACCCAAGACCTGCTATCTTTAATTTCATTGGTTCATCTAGAAATATATAGTCTCATTACTGCCACTTGTACCATTCTTTCGTGTCGTTTGAATTGTAGCGGTTCCTCATTTCCCAATAAATGTAACAGAAGACGAAGATATAGCAGACTTACAGTTGAATACTGTTAGTCTCCTTTCTATACCCTTCAACTTCCGTAGCTATCTCTCAAGATTATGTTGTAGAAAAGTGGTGATTGTAGCACAATAAGATCAGTTTCTGGTGTAATTCAGGCATTTTTGTAAGTTATATGTGAAAAAGATCACTAAATGATATGGGACATAACAGTATTCTTAATGAAGTTTAACTAACCATCATAATTTCGTGAATAAAATGTTTATGATGCTCCATCATGCCATCATTTATGGAACATAAAAAGCATAAGGATATAGAATAAATTTTTATCAGGCTAACAATTTCTACTTTTTGAACTACACTGATTCTTACCCACTCTTCAGTCCGCTATAGAACTGAATATTACATTTTGAACGAAAGTCTATACAGAACAACAATTTCCTAATAGTATCAGTAGTTTGCACTAAATCAAATCATAAATTTTTATTAAATACTGAGATTTCGTTTAATAAAAATATCTAATAAATAAGTGTATGAATGTAAATGAAGGATACTAATTCAAAGATGATGAATAGTCTGCTTCATTCAGTAGGTGAAAATCATGGTTGATTTAAGTAAAGAGTTTAGAGTTGTTTATAGCATACCATATCAGTTTATCATTTAACTGACATATATGTGTACGGTACTGAATTACACTCATTCATATAAATTTGTTTAGACCAACTATTCATCCATATTCAAGGAAAATTTGTACAATAGTTTTTATTTTCTTGACAATAAATATAATTAAACAATTAACCTAACATCTTATTTAGTAGATCAAAACAATTTACTAATGCTCTATCACTCTTAATTATTTCTTTATCGTTACATAACTGAAGTCAAAATGTAACTTGGGCAAACGTGTAACTAAACGATGATATCAAGGGAACCCACTTAGAATGGACAAACAACAAAGACATCAAATATGGTCTTGAATAAAAATTACGAACACTAATTTGAAGCGACAATACATAAAGCTTTCATAGTTTGAGTTGCGAACTGATTTAGTAAAGCCACAGTTGAACACCTAGAAGCATTAGGCAAATGTTTCGTCCCAATATAAGTCAATAGTGCGCACCGGCGAACACACTACAGGGGATCAAAGCCAAGGTCCTTCGGTCTCGCGCTGGAACGCTTAAACACAAGGCCACCTAGTGCCCCTAAATGTCCTGATACGGCCAAGGGTGGGACGAGTTAGCTTTCTCTTTCGAAATAACCTCGCATGGTCACGCGTATACAGCCACTACCAAGGAAGTCTTACTCACTACCTTCCCGAGGCGAGGGTGTTGTTTACGAAATTGAGAAGAGAAAAACCAAATGTCCGGCGCTTTAACGGGGTCAGTGAATATAGAGCATCCACCTGGGGGAGTTGAAAAACCTTGGTTTCAAGCCCATGACTCCAGGATCCTGAGGGAACAGAAGGCGTATGAATTTATTGCTGGTCACTGGCTACCATGGTACTGCATCTCCTGATGTTGCTCCACTGCCTTATGGATTAGACCTGTAAATTAAAGGCTCCTGGTGTGTCTTTCTAATGAAACCACCTGTTTCGGTTTTGGTACTCAGGCAATATCCCAACCCTCACACAAATCGAATGATGAATTGTGGCGTATACATATTTGGTGCCTCCTTATACCAATGTTTATGTGTTTAAATAAACAAAGGCCACCTAACCGGTGTTAATCTAGCTTCAATTAATTTCCAATATTTCTCAACCTTCATCTATAGCCAGTGGTGTTTATCTTTTTCATACCCAATATAGTTGAACTCCACTGGTCACGGTTCCCCACTGGAACTCTAGGGATCGGATCATGAAGAAATTTCTGTTTGTCTGGAATTTACAAAATCCTAATAAAGAATACTACAAAATCACCAGTACTTTCATACTGCCTACAAATTTTGTCACCATTTTATATAGCAGTAAGTAATTATTTGGTATACCTAACCCCAATTACTAACGATGGAAGCTAATATATTTAACTTTAAAAAGAAAAACGGATGTCTGTTAAACCTCAAAATTGTCTTTATTACATAATTTCTTACAATTTCCTGTTCAAGTCATCAACACAACTAGCGCACATTATTTTTAAGTCAAGCAAATTTAGTTCAACGTGGATTTGTGCGCTGGCTTTTAACTGTGTTACAGAAAGTGGTTCAACGATCTTATCTCAACTATCCGGGCGAAGATAGACGTAGAGTACAATCCCTGCGACTGTTATAACCAATCATTGGAAATGCTGGTTGACATAACTAAAACTCGGTCGCAATGGTGAAGATGCATTTATTTATCTTAAAATACTTGTGGCCTTTATTTTGCACATTCATTCTTTCTTCCAGAATAATAATAATCTTCCCTAATTCTACTGACGCCGTAACTGTACTTCTACTACTCTGTGATTTGTCATGATAATTTCATCTAATTGTGTTGATGTGGTGTGGAAACTTGAAC